CGTGTCCTCAAACTCACTGAGGTCCTTGACAGGTTGGGCTCCTGCGCTCGCCATGAGACCAGACTTGAACGCCCGGATGTCTTCGATGACGGTAGCCTTGTGCACGGCGTCTGATCCACTGGCGATATCGCCTGCCTTGGCGTCGTCTTCGGACGTGACTGGCTTCAAGCCGGCCTTCTCGGCGTCAGCGATGATGGCTGCGACCTTGCTGTCTTCGAGCTGGACAGTCTCCTTGAGATACTTCTCCAGGAAGTCAAGGCTCTGTCTCTGTTTGGGCGGGACATCCTCGAGGTTCGCTTTCTGGAGGAGCTCGATGATTTCCTTGTCCAGTGCCGGGGTGTTGCGGGCATGGAGGTGCACGGAAATCCTTGCGCGAGATTGTGAAGAGGGACTGAAGTATGTGTTGTAAAACTCGATCAAGTCGGCTTTGCTGATCGGCTTCACAAATGCGGCATCCAATTGGGCTATACTTTTGTTAGCTATTTCTCTGACCGAGGCATTTGCGCTCGAGACTCACCCTGCTCAAAGTCGTAGTATTCGCCCGAAATGTGTGTCCAGTGCCTCGTGGACTCCTGGTCGAGGTTCTTGGGCTTCTCAAGTCGCTTCAGGACCAAGCTGCGCTTGTGACCCTCAAAGTCGGCATCGCTCATCTTCTCCAAAATGTCACCCATCTGGGTAAGGAATGATTCGATTCGAGAGTCGAGGTACTCGGGGGTACGCTCGCTCTGAATCAGGATGCGTAGCCCGCAAGTGGTGGCAAAGGTCCTGGCGTTGGTGAACACAATGTACCCGAGCTGCTCCTTAGTCCGAAGCTGATCAAAGGCAGGCTCGGAAGCAATCTGGTCGAACAGGAGCGTCTTCGCTCGCAGGGTACGGTCTGCCTTGTCGCCGACGTACAGCCATGTCTCCACACAGTGATTCACGTTCTCAGGATCCTTGAGCGTCTTGTTGAAAACAAAGTTGGAACCGCGAGAAAGAAGCAGTGACCTCACTATGGGCAACTGCGACTTGGGCAGCTGTCGGGGCTTGAAGGTGGACTCTATCACATTGGTGATTTTCAGCGCATCTTCCTTGTGCAGATTGCCGTGTGCGTACGTCTCGATGAACATTTGCGAGAGGACTTGCTTCTGGAAGAGTCGTACGCCTTCGCAGGTGACGTTGGGAAGCTCGTCGGCCAGTTCCTCGACCAGATGGTTGCGCTCCGAGTTGAGGTTGCTCAAGTAGTCGCCAACCTGTTGGTAGGCCGAGTTGAGTTGCCAGTTGCTGAATGCGCGGGTGACACGCTCCTTGATAAGATCGAATCGATCCTGCTTGACATCCAAGTCGCGCATGGTTGTTGTGACGTGCTGCAACAGCACGGGAAGCTTGTCATTGTAGCCAGAAATGTCCAGCACAAGATGCCTCGATCCCAAGCTGACCGAGTACTGCAGACCTGCAAGCTCGGCGTCGTATGCGTACTCCTCGAGGGCATCCCGCACCAGTTCGGTAAACAACCTCGCCTTGACAATGTTCTCGGCCGATGCATAGATGAGCGGACTCTTGAGACTGACAAGGACGTTTGCCTTGGGCACCCAGAACGTATCGTCCTTCTTCCACCACGTGCGAGCCAGGGAGTCGTTGCGGAGCAGACGAGGGCTGACAGCAGCCTGGGCCACCTCTTTCTTCTCCACCTCAAGTTCACTCGGGATAAAGGCGTTCTTGTGCGGCAGGTGAAGCTCCGGGATGCGCTGGCCCCTGGGCATGTCGAAAGCTTGCCTAAAACTGTCCATGGTCTCTTGAGGAATCTTCTCATGGCGGTACTCTGTGCCGTACCACTTTTCCCTCTGATCCCAGTTTCCAGGGAAGGTTTGCGAGACAACACTGAGCCTCATATTCTCGGGGGTGATCTTGGCCAGACCGGCCTCGATGGACTTTGAATCAAAGACGCGCAGACGACCGTGGCCACTCAGGAGCCACTCGCGGGGAATCGGCTTCTGCATGACGGAACTGGTCCGACTCGTGAACTTGCTGGCGGGCGTCTTTTGCTTGAACTTGAAGTCGACATCTGCCATACCCTTTTGCTCTTCGTGGATCCACGGCTCTGGTGGTGACTCTCGCAGCATTGAGACGTATTGGAACAGCACCTTGATGATCTCCGTATACTTCTTGAGACCCTCCTCGGTCAGCCTGATTGAGATGTCAAAGAGACCAGGAGTGCCAGGACAGATGGGGTAGGCACCGGCGGAGAGACCCTCTGCCCATCCCTTGCTCTTGATGTACGCCATGATACTGCCAGGACCCTCATGACCAATCAGATGGCTTATGTACCGACTGGGTTGAGACTCGTAGAGGTGCTCTTCGTCAATGAAGGGGAAGGTGAGGCTCAGCTCGCGCGAGTTCATCACAGGCTTTGCAAAGGTCTGCGTTGCGAGATCCGACTCCCGGAAAGGCACCTCAGTCTCCCACCTGTGCTGCGGCAGCTTCTTGTTCACAACGTCGGAGAAGTACTCCTCCGTCCATTTCTGCAGGACATCTAGCGGTTCGCGACCTAGGATGACCAGCTTCATCTGGTTGGCAGAGTAGTGCTTGCTGTGGAACTCGATGAACTTGTCGCGGACATTGATGCCCTTTGCTTCGGGCAGTGTCTTGAGAATTTCAAAGTTGCCCGTAGAGAAGTGGCAGTATGGATGATTGGGATTCGAAAGAGACTTCTCAAGCTGATGTAGCCTCCATGTGTCGCTCTGAAGGTTCTTCTTGTTTTCAGAGTCAACAGCCCGCAATTCTCTGTCTAGCGTTCCTTCCAGGAAGAGAGGCTCGATAAAGAACTGCGAGAAGCGATCAAGTGCTCCTTTCAGAGGTGAAGGGTTCTCTTCTGTTGGATCCTGGTCGTTTGAGGGCTTCGCAGCTACCTCAAAGTAGTAGTTGGTAGATGTGGAGGCGGTGTAAGCGTTGGAGTGACCAGAGTTGGCGGCAAGGTATGAGCCGTACTCATTTTCTACGGGGAACTTCTTGGTTCCCATGAAAAGAAGCTGCATTGTTTTCCTGTCAGTCTGCGCAAAAGGATCGAGTGCAGTTGGAGGTACTCACGTGCTCGACCGCATGAGCCATGCCAGGCATGGCCTCCTCGTCGCTGAAATTGCCGACGTGGACATCCAGAGCAGCACTGGCCTTATCTGTCTCAGGATCATGAACGAGTAGAGCCTCAAGCTCATTGTCTAGGCGAACTACACGATAATCGCGATTATCTAACGACGGCTTCTCCAAGGTGTCGGTCAGCAGCGTCGCCGGGGGGTGGTGACAAGGCGCATTGGCCGAGGCTGGGAATTCTGACGGCGGCATAGTGAAGGTGTTGTGTGTTGTTGACGAGATTTGTCGCAGATGAGAAGATGACGAAGGAGAGAGTCTTGTCGATACCAGAGAAGAGTGTGATATGAAGTGTTTTGCACACAATGACGACCTTGGTACTTGACGGCTGCTGATGCGGTTCACTAGCACGTTTGCTGGGGTAGCTGCGAGCAGGCGGCTCGGGATCCACCCAAGGTGACGAAGTTTGCTAGTGACACAGCACCACCGATTGATGATGGCCAGACTGGCGGGTTTGGATTTGGCAGGGTGGTGGACCCTTGCTGCGCGTTGTTGTCGTTGATGTCTGTCGCCTCTGATGCGGTGAACGAGCAGCACGAGATCAGGAAATGGACTGAATAGGGGGGCTGGTCTCTGATTGTCGCAGCTGGCTAGTACATGCACCCACGCTCGCCCAATCGTCTTGACGCTGGCGCGAATAGGCAATCAGTCGACTGGGGTTGTACTCGGTACAGGGTGTCTGTTATACGCCAAACACCTTGATGACCGTGTGCTACGGCGCACTGGCGTAGACAGACAGTAAGTTAGACTGCAGTAAGGTTTGGTTCGGTAGGAGAGCCCAAGGAGCAGAAACTTCCTCGAGGTCTTGAATGAGCGACGGAACGTCAGAAGAGTCTCGAAGATGATGTAGGTAGAACACCTGGCGAAAATGGAACCAGCTTCTAGCGCGGCGATTACTGTAGGCAATGAGGCCAGCTTGAGGAGACTGTGGTGAAAATCCACCCGTGTGGCGTCCAGTCCCTTCTCCGATTTCGCTAGACTAGCACTGATAGGAGCTTAACTAATACCGACAGACTCTTCAAGGCCCGAATCATTCCCGCCATCATTGATGGAACTTGCGTGCCACACTTGCTGCGAATTACTCGCGCTACTAGTCCATTCTGTGCTTGTTGAGAATCACATGCTGGCTTACGACATGAGGGTGATCCTTGTTGCAGGGCATGATGAACCACGACCAGGGGAGAAGAATCAGGATTAGTTCTCAACAGGTTACGGATAGATCTACTCGCATCACGTCGGACAAGAATGGACCTCTACATGATTTACGCGTCGTGACTGTTAAATTAAATGTGTTCTGTACTCTGTATATTCCCTGCCACATGGATGAAGCGATTCATAAGGTACATGCTAATGCGGAATCGTGCCTCATGTATTCACAGAGTGCCAGCCGCGTGTTGTGGTATACTACAAAGTCGCTGTGAAGGGCACCCTTCGTGAACGCTACGAGTGGACTCAGATAGCCGTAGGAGGCGGTCTGCTGTCTGCATGCGCAACGAGGCCCAGCCAACCCCTTGCTTCTTTCTGTCGTCCTGCGCGCGCTAGCTGCAGACATATATGCGGCAGGCAAGCAAACAGCTTATCACAGACCGTCCGCATGTGCTCCTCGTGGAGGCCGCTCCTATTGCGACTTGTGTCAATGTCTCATGCTTACCACCACATGCATTGTGATCCATGGCTGAGCATTGCAATATTCGCCCGACTTCTTGGGCGTTGCGTCTCGCATGAATTGTGCCTCGCCTCCAAAGGCGATCATATCCCACACTGCGCAGAGACAGCCAGCCGAGAGCGGTCGTCGTGGTACTTACCGCCATGCATGACTGCCTTACGGATAGTCGGTCGCTGAGTGGGCGTCCGGCTTCATCTCGAAAGCTGAAGACACCCTCCGAGACGACCTGCAGCCGCACTCCTAGGCCTAGCCACGCTTCGAACTGCCCTTTGACCCCTTGGACTGACTTTGTGAACAGTCCGCGGCCTTGTGGCCCGTCTTTTGGCATTTGTAGCAAGTCATAGCCGACTTGGAACCCGACCCGCCTCCAACGCCACCCCCAGACGATATCGAGGTCAACTTATTAATGTTCACCTCCTTCTTCCTCCTCTTGTCGCGCAGTTCTTTGGCCTTTGCAGCTTCTGCACTTGGTCTCGCGCTCGATTTTGAACGGGCACGTTTGCCGTGAGATCCATCGCCATGAGCGCGGCCGCGGCGATTTGAGCCATCATTATCTTGATCGTCCCCATCCTCGTCCTCGTCTTCATCGTCGTCGTCTGTATCCTGGTCGTGCGACTGTGATTCGTCCTTTTTCCCCTACAAGGAAGAAAAATGAGCTCAATCCATTTCCGGCTAGGAACAGCCAGGGCAAATGTCCGTTGAACTTACCGCATTCGCTCTCTTCTTGTACGTCGAAGTCCTGCCTGCTAATGCAGTGTCCTGGTCCTCGTCATCCGAAGTATCAATGTCTCCGTAGCCGACATAGACAATTTTGCGAGGTAACGCGGCGGACTCCTGTGCGGGCTGGGCAAGGCTTGTATCAAGCACCCATTGTGTGTCATTACCGCCGTGCTGCGCAAGTGCGACTTGCCGTTTCGCCTCGCGCTCGTCGACTGCGGCCTTGATAGATGCCTGGTCAATTTTGAAGTCGATTGCATCATTTTTCGACATGTGCACATGTTTGCGCTTCTTGGCTGAATGCGCGTCGCTGTCTGATCCTGGCGTCGAGGCAGCGCTGTTGGCTGCAGCTCTCTGCATGAACTTCATGTTCAAGAGCCTCGAGGAGGCGGTTTTGGGTGTTTCTGGGGCCATTATGGGCGGTTTGGCGATGAAATCCCGTGCTTTCGTCACCTTTCAGAAAATTGGCGGGCGCGAGAGTTGCTTGTGAGGTATTGTCGGTTTACAGCAGGTAATGAGGCAGCTGCTCAAAGGTTGCCAGAAACTTAATTGTGGGTCTTAACCACCTACAGCAAACTTACGGGCCAACCAATGTTCCGCCTCGAGAACGCACCTCGCAACGTCGACCGAGCGAACTCGCGATCAGCCCAGCAGATCAATTGGCACCAAGTTCCTCTTCAACAGCTTGCGAATCATGGCGACTTCACACTTCAGAGCCGTCAGCACGCTGACACGCAGTTTGCGCGTCTCGCACCGTGCTTTCACCGCTTCCGCCCGAAGTCTCGAGGCTTCCGTTCCCTCCACCTCCAAGCACGATGCGACTCCTGCCCCGATCGACGAGTCGAAGCCTCTCGAGGTGAACCAAGCCCCCAACAGGCTGGGAGTGTGGTCGAGGAACCAGAGGCCGCGCTCTGAGGCCATGACAGGTCCGCGATTTGAGCAGACGGACTTTGATCTCCAGGTATGATTTAGCAGACGCCAATTCCACTCGAGCCCTCCCATGCTCACACATTGGACAGCCGCAGCCCAAGTCGGCGATCGAGATGATTCACAAGGAGCCCGTGAGGTGGACGCACGACCGGATCGTCGCCTGTGAAGGAGGTGGTGGCCCAGCCGGCCACCCCAAGGTGTTCATCAACACAGACAAGCCAGAGATTGCCATTTGCGGCTACTGTGGCCTGCCATTCGTAAGTCGACACGGCAGCTCTCATTCCTTGAGACGTCTAACGTTGGACACAGGCGCACGAGCACAACCGAAAGCACCTCGAATCTCTACCCCAGACCTCGTACCCTCTCGCATGAGGATGACAATTGTAATCGGCAATGGGAGGACACCTTATAGAGTAGGGAATGATGTAGTGGAGTTGGGAATATCCAGTTCCTTGTATTCAGAGTCTGCAACATATTCTATGTTTCCACACGACTACCCTGGCTAACGTCGAGGTCATTTGCGTCAACCAACGATATTCACACAACCGTCGTGGTTTCGTGAACCCGAGTGATATACAATATCGACAAATGATCAAGAGTCAATATCAACATCCCGACGCAGCTTAGGGCGCGCAGCCATTGGGGCACTTCGGTTGGCTTGCTGGTAATTTCTCCAAATGACACCCTTCGCTCAACTGTAATCGGGTCCTTATCATTCGCTTGTGGCTCGGCGCCGTAAAGTAATAGCTGCCCCACCTGAATACATCATACCTCAACGACGCAAAACCTCCAAGCTTTCGGACCACAATGCAATCCGCAACTCAAATTTCGGCGTCCTCTACCATAGTAATCTGTCTGATCCTGCTTCTTGCACTCTTCCCAAACCTGTTTCACTTGATTTGGTCGGCACCACTTGCTCTCATCTTCGGAAACTATCCCTCTGAAACGGACACTTTCAACAGCATGACTTGGACACAGAAGCAATTTACCCTGCAGCCCAAGTCGAGGGGCTCCTATCTCATCACAGATCAGGTCGTCCAGGCTCTCCCTGAAATCAGAAACTACAAAGTCGGCCTTCTGAACCTGTTCATCCAGCACACAAGCTGTGCCTTGAGTTTGAATGAGAACTGTGCGTGTGGCCCTGTGTGTTTGTTTGCCAACGTCACTGACCGAAATCACAGTCGACAGCGATGTTCGCGAGGACATGAGCGACGCCCTCGACCGCATCGCTCCCGAAGAGGGTCCCAAAGGCGAAGCGCTCTACCGCCATGAGTAAGACATCATAAACGGGCCAGCTTGTCCATAACTAACGTTACGCAGCGCGGAAGGTCTCGATGACATGCCTGTAAGCTGATGCGACTCGCTTTGGTATTTTCCAACTGACTCAACCAGGCTCACATCAAATCTGCCCTCGTTGGAGCTAGTGTCACGATTCCCATCAAGGACGGAAAGCTGGTAAGTCCCCATGGCTCCAACTGCAGACGCACATCCTGACTCTGTGGACAAGGCGACAGGAACTTGGCAAGGTATTTGGTATCTCGAGTTCAGAGCTTCGAAGCATTCGCGCCGCGTGATGGCCACCATTCAGGGTGAAAAGTCCTAAGGTCGCTCACGACCTTGATGGAGAAAACAGTCGAATAAAGAACACCGCATGATCTCCAACCGATGCAATGCGCAGCCTACGTGAACGCCTAACGCCAATGCCAAATATCAATATGCTATCCGCCGTTCATGACTCCGCCTCGTTTTCGTCCTTCGTTTCCTTCATGTCGGTGTCGTCCCCTGCGAGGACCTTGGTCTGTGGCACATAGCCCTCGGGCGCCCCCTCGCCAGGCGTTACCGCCACGACCTTGCCGTTTTCGTCGACAAATTCGAAATTGTAGCGGCTGAGGAGATGAGGAATAGCTGAAAGCTGGGGGCCGTATCGGGCGGTGTTGTCGTAGAGCTCGAAGAGTGGAACGGCGAGGAGCTTCATGTTCTTAGGTACGCTAAGGATCTCTTTGTCCATGTTAGCTTCGGATGTAGGTCAAGAGATTTGGAAGCCTTACTGGTCTTGGGCAGGTGAATAAAGTAGGCCTTCTTGCATTCCTTGGGACGTGTGACATGCGCAGGGATGAATGGGTACATGAACGTCTCAAAGTTCGGCCTCCACCACTGCGCGAGGCACTCGCCAATCTCCCACTGCCCAGCTTCTTCGCCCTCTCCCAGGCGCCCGACCGGTGCCAGGCGCTCGTCTAGCCTGGACTTGAAGCCTTCCACCTCATCTTCTTCGGGTTTGAGGTAATCACCTGGCAGCTTGAAGAAGGCGTTTGCGATCTGCAGCATCAGGATGTGTGGGTGGTTGTGCTCATGGCAGACGAGGATCCCCTCGCAGGTGCGGCGCATCCCATGCTCGGCGTAGTGCTCTTCGAGGCGCTTCAATCGAGCGATGACCGACGGATCCTCCTCTGGTTGTGTTTCCTTGACGCCAAACGTGTAGTTGGAAAGTGGGTAGAGCGTGACCTTGTGCGGTTGCCTCGCGTTGAAAGGCAGCGGTATTGTCGGCGGGTTGCCCGATTGAATGGATGTGAGGGTGATGGTTGACATGGCGAAAGATGCGGTCCACGCTCGCGAACTCGGAGAGCTGAAAGTCGAGCTGGAAGCTGCTAGTTATTGCCTTGGCATTGAATTGAAGCTGAAGCTATCGGAACTGGGAGCGGCAAAATCCGGGGTCTCGGTATGGTAGGCGGTCAGGCATGTCTGCGCATGAGGTTTACAGGCTTACAGCAAGGCGCCCGTCATTACAACATTGACAAGTTCTTACGCGTAGACTATGGATACTATTACTAGGAAGCACGCAACTGTGTGACCGATTGAGTGTGATAATCGTGTTGATATCTGAATAGGACCTATTTTCGCTGTAACTAGCTCGCCCATCTTGAACGGGTTACCCCCACGGTGTACGGACACAACGTGAGTAAGTAAGCACCATGTGTGAGCACAGTGGGTGCGATATCAAACTGCTACAGGAACGAGACTTGTCTCTCTGTCGCCAGCTATGAAAATCGTTCAGGTTTGCTTGCTGCAGTGAGAGTGTAGAAACGGCCAGAAACTACACAGCATGATGATAGCGTTGGCCTGGTTGAGGATAATGGCATGAACCGTGAAGCCTACACACGAGTATGATGCATCATGTGCGGCATGTGGCCAACCACCTTGGTATGCAGCCCATTCACTCATTATTGGCAGTGTCATGCAGAACCCAGGCACATGGATGATGCACTTATATGACTGAGGTCAGGGTGATGTGGTGGTTTGGTGGGGGTGTCGAGCGAGGACCGAGTCGCGGATTGTGGTCCCTTTCGGGTCCAAATCACAAAACAAGCTCACCCAGCTCAAAACCCTCACCGACATCCATCCTCTCACTCCAGTCGCCAGCTTCGCCACGGTCCGAATGACCCATATTGGCCAATTGCTCTGTTCTGCTCTGCTGCTGGCCTCCACCTTCCCCGGACTGTGAGACCAGAGATCTGCGTCATGCCAATTCCGACCCCGACGCTGCTGAGACAGTCCAGGCCGCTTGCGGGATCATCGCTTTAAGCCAACACCATGGAGACGCCTAGGCAGACGCAGCGACAAGGCCTGCCCTTGGTCTCGGAACTTCGAGAAGTACTGGACGATCTTGATCGCAAATTGGAGGTATACCGCAAGGGCCTCGTGGCTGATTTTGGGCATCGATATCAGCAAACACTGGGCGACGTCGAACCCGCTCTCGCACGCGAGGTCAACCAGTCTCTTGCGCTCAGTGTCGACGCCGACTATCCTGGTTTGGCACCCGACCTCAAGACTTGGCTCATTCAGCAAGGTGCCAGCCGCGAGCAGCCGCTCGATTTTGATGCTGACACAGCCTCCACGCGGCCTGAACTTGTCAATACGAGCTCGTCGCACCCGCCATTGAGTGACTTGGACCTAGATCAGGACAGGCACCAGCTAGTGAGCGCAGGATCCCCGCTGTCTCCGAGCGCCGCCTTCGGCGCTGCTCTAACGCCAACGGGCGCAACTCTGTCGTCGGGCGATCCTCATGAGCGTGAAAAGGAATTCCAAGGCCTCTTCACTCCGTTTTTCCTGCCATTGCTTGACAGTTCAGGCCACCTCAACAACCAACTACGGCCACTTACATCATCACTGCCGACAATCGCTACCAGTCCTTCTCGCACCCAGACAGACGATGCTGCCAATGGCATAAGTAACGATTTATCGATAGGCGTCAAGAAGGCCAATGTAGTGACGGCCGATCGCCTGCAGGGTCAAGACATGGAGGGGCCAAGCGAGACCGGGGGCATCAGGCGAGCCTTATCCGACTTACAGCCAGAAGCAAAGCTGAGCTCGCCGTCGCCGCCTCTTACCCGACCTAGCCACGGGCGTTCAGCTACCGACGACACAATATCCTCAACATTATCATCGGCCCTCTCAGACAGGAGTGACAGCACGACAGCACGGCGAAGCGCACTGCGTCGATCTTCGAGTGTTTCCAAGCACAATCACCAAAGTCCACGACGTGTGCGCTTCGAGTTCAAGGGCGTCGAGATCCTCCCGACCGCTTCGCCACAGCCCTCCGACTACCTTACCCCCCGACCATCCTCGCCCGACAATGCAGACCAGCCACGCTCCTTTGATGAAATTGTGGGAGACAACGCGGCTGGCGAGCAAGAAGAGCCCACGAAGCTAGCGCCGCCCCGCAAGATATCCTCTTCAGAGGCCCTTCGAGCAATGTCAAGGACGCCGCTGGACGAAGGTACGGTTTGGACATTGGTGAATTCAGATTCCGAAAGTCGGGACGACGAAACAATCGACCAGACGCCCAACTTATCTACGGCAGGGACAATGGAGGCCAAGACGTCACCTGTCGATCCGCCAGGCACCGTGGCCCATGACGTTTCCTCTCCTCCCGACGCAAATGCTACCGAAGAGGGCTTCCGGGTCGAGCCTCAGAGTGATGATTCCTCTGACGAGGATTTCTTGTCCATTGGCAAGTCTAGATCATTTGAGGGGAAGAAGCCAGTGAAGCAGATGAAGGCTTCCATACCGACGTCTCCCTCTAGAAGGGTAGCCGTCCCGACACCAGAACCCTCGGCTCGGCAGGAGGCGCCCAAACTCTCCGAAGAAGAAAGAGACGACAAGGACCACACATCATCGGAAGATTATGAAGCAGAGGAGGAAGACGACATGTTCTATTTCGAGGGTGGACGCGGCCTCAGTGCCCCTCCTCGACCTCGGCGTCGCCCCCCTCCTCTCCAAGAAGATGAACCCGAACCATTGTCACCAGAGCGCGACAATGAACCTGTGCGCACCCCGCAAGTAGCCTCGCCGGGTGTCCCCATTGCGAGATCAGCGGGCTCGGGACCGGCTACGCCGACAACCTCGCGCTTCCAGGTTGGATCTCTGGGATCGTACAAAGGCCGGCCTGTGGTGATGCCGATTGTCAAGAACCCCGAGCTGCATGCCCAGGCTGAAACACTGGGCGAGTTCGACACATTTGTTGGTGGCGTGGAAGAAGGCGAACTATACAGCTACCGCCCCAGTCTGGTTCAAAGCACTTTTACTGGAGAACCTCGCAGTTTATCAGAGCGAATGATGGTGGATGACGCGCGAGAAGGGGCAGGACAAAGTCCGTAGATGGTTCTGGCTCACTGCTGTTTATTCTTAATTTGGGTCTTGGGGGATGTCTGGGTCATGGGAGCATACGTCTGACGGGCACTGGGTCCTCCCTGCAAGCATATCAAAATGGCGTTGGTTGGTACACGTGCGCATGCGGAAACTGGGAAACTGGGTTGGTTTGGTTCATATGGGGGCGGTTAACGTTGAAGAGAAGTTATAGACATGGCATGGGATGGTCTGCATTATGTGCCGGAAGCCTACGTGAAGTAAAATATCCTTCAAATGGAACTGCCAGCAATGTATTTCATCCTTTCTGGAGATGGCAATGATAATGTTCGAAGGTACGTGCACTTGTACTTGTGCTCGGAAAGCTGAGTGTCATAAGGTGGAATAGTATCGCAAAGCTTTGACCACTCAGAGGCCAGCTACGCCAACACTTACTTCTCAAACATCCATGACACCACCACCAACACCGGAACGTCATTTATCGCATCAACCACAGAAACCAACAAGATGGGCGGTCTCAATCTAGAAGTTTTCAAGGCACGTCCTCCGCATTGTCGCATCGTGCGCCAGCTAATAGTCTCCTAGTTCGGCATGTATGTCATGTTCCCGATAGGGATCATGTACTATTTCGGCACCAACCTCGATGACCGCTTCTCCGTTCCCAACTTCTGGCCTAAGCCTGAGGAGTGCAACCGTATCCCCCACGATCGCGAAGAGATTCGCGCCGAGTACGACCGTATCGTTGCGCGACAAAAGTTGAGGCAGGCCAAGAAGCTGGAAGAGGAGAAGCTTAGGTAGGGGATCGCAACCACCGAATAACGGATCGGGCTCTTGAGACCGCGAACGAACACGATAAGAATACGCGATCCAGAGAGAACTATGTACATTACGTGTGGGAGGATTGAGAAACCACGCTGGAGATGATACCGCGCATGGGTGGCGTTCTGGCTGGGGTTGGGCAAAGGTCGACCATTGTCTGTCATGTTGTACAAAAAATGTTAAAGGACTCTCTACTATATGTCCAAATGTCTTTCTACTCGTTCCCAGTCTTCTTCAGCGAGATCGCCTTGGCGGACATTGGCGTAGATACCCTTGACCTCGGGATATTCCTTGAACTTGGTGAACAAGTTGTCAAGAATCTCGGCCGTTTCGGACGAGTCCACGGTGACCATTGTCTCCTCGTTGGGAGCGAACATCAACTCGGATTCGACAATGTCGAGATCAAGCTTCTTGGAGAATGCTTGGGTTACGGACATGAGCATGGCTGGTTCTACCCAGGCGAGGATGTTCCCGTTAGACATTTCCTCGATATCCTCAAGACCCTCGTGCTCGATAGCCTCTTCCATTAGCTCTGATAGGTCGGGCTTCTGTGATTTGCTCTTGAATATAGCCCGTCCTCGTCTTGTAAAGTAGAAGGCGCTTGCACTGTGCAAAGCTCCCCCTTCCTTGACGACTAATTTGAGATTCGGGATGCTTCGCGCTTTGTTGTCCGTCTCGGCCTCGACTAATATAGCGACGTTTGGAGGTAACAGGGCTTCGATCGTCATGGGCTCGAGTTTCGCTCCAGTAGCAGAGCGCCCCTGACCGCGAGCAATAGCTCCCTCGATAAGAGTTTTGGGTATGCTAGCTACGACATCTGGGTCAGCTGCGCCAATTGTCAACCCAGCATCGGGTTCTACCTTTGTTCGCCGCGGAGACAGCACTCGCCAACTGGGGGTTGAAAGCAAGATTATCACCGTATACTATTTGCGCGTGTTACTTGTGGCCTTGTACAGGTTGGTGACAGGCTGGCGAACATCTGGAGTAAACCTCGATGGCTTTGGTGAAGGTATTGCGTTCATCCATCTTCTTCTTGTCCGTAACAGCCTTTATATGCTTTGTTTTCGACCATTTATTGTGACCCGCTCGTGCAATGGCCGTGGTCGCAAACTGTCGTAGACATGGCTGGCATTTCGGCGCAACCGTTGCGGGCTTGAGTCGAGATAGAAGAGGTTTCAGCTGGCTTCGCATTCTTGTCGAGGACCTTCGCGCAGGGGTGCTATTGTTGACCCAGATATGAGCTAGACAGAGGAATTGGATAGAGGACTGATTTCAATGCCGAGTTGAGGAATGATGTGAAGATAATTGTTCGATGGTCGTCATGCGATGATTGGCCGACCCCGGCGCCGTGGTCGCTGCATGATGCCCAGGGGTGGGTGGTGACTTCCATTCCTCATTTGGTAGCTCCATCTATCCCACTTGATGCTCATGCTGTCAAGGGACCAACCCAAGTCCACCTCACCAACCCCTTTACCCATATCACCCCGACGTCCAGTATCATCACGGCTGCGACTGGTTGTAGGGGTCTACATATACCTGCGATGGCATCCACCGATGACAACGATCCAGCTAGCAGCCCGCCCCAATCCCAACCGCAGTCCCCAGCTCGTCCTAACCAGTCGACAGCTTCGATAGCAACCACCACAGCGACTGCAGCTGCGTCAGGGACCGCCGCCGACGAGACCACGACAGCGACGCCTGAGCTCGACTTGAGCAAACTCAAAGCACTGCCTTCCGAGCAGCAGGACCTATATCTCCTTACCTTCGTCTCGGGACTTGCGAAGCATGTGCTGGAGCTCGACGCCGATGATTGCACAGCTCAACAATTTTATTTGAAGAAGGAAATCTTTCAGATTCTAAATGTCTCCACACCGTCGCCCTCGAGAGTCATTCGATCCAATCTAGGAAGATGTCTGGCGCATATATTCGGCAAGGGCGACAGGAAGCTGCTGTTTGAGACCGTCAATGATCTCGTGGGTATCATCTCGGGAGGCAAATCGAAATCAGAAGCCGAACTACGAACAAAGCATGCCGCAGTCACTTGTCTGGGAGAGGTTTTCGCCGCCGCAGGCGATAGTGCAGTTGGCCTGCACCAGCTCTCGTGCTCCGCCCTCTTGAAGTTCCTGAAAGCCGCCTCTAGCCATGCTGGAATCCGCGCTGCCATATTCACGGCGCTCGAGAGGATCACGGGGATGGTACAGACAGCTCTCGACGAATACATTGCGCGTGATATCTGGAAGCAGGGGCGAAATCATGCATCCAGCGACAAGGGAGCGCTGGTGGTCGCCTCAGCATGCCGTTGCCTCAAAGCTCTGGCGCGACACACTGGGTACTTCCGCAACTCAACCGACTTTGATAAGCTCGAGAGCGCACTGCTCAAGGCGTTCGACTCTCCCGTCGGGCAAGTCAGGCATGCAGCTGCGGATTGCTTCGCAGAAGCCATGGTCCAGGGCTACTCGGAGCTTGCCACAACGGACGGCAAGGGCAAAAAAACGAAGCCGAAATTGATGCGTGCATCAACGCACCCTGGCATCGCAGCAGATGATGAGGAGCTACCAGCTCGTGCGAGTAGTCCTGCGCCTGGCGGTAAGCGGAGCTCGGATCTCGCCTTGTCTCTCGCCGATATGTTGAAACAGCTCGCGGGTCACTTTGTCAAATCCTCGGCCTCGAATAGGACACGCGCAGCGTTAGGCGTCTGTTATTGTCAGCTATTTCGCAGACTGGGCGAGAAGTTGATCGAAGCCAATTACCTCAGGATTGTCGAAAGTCTCACAACGGATGTACTCGGCCAACCGTCTATCTATAATCACAGATACCGCCTGCTCATCTCGCGCAAGATGATTGACACAATCATTCAGGATGTCATTGGTCGGCGGATCTTGGGGGAATCGGGCCAGATTTCGGCAGCGAAGCAACTCATCAACGATGTTCTCAAGAACTACCCGCAGTCTTTGGCGGAAAAGCCGGAGCCTTCGAAGCATACCCTTATCACGGTTCTCAGTGCCGTGTCATCTTTGATGACTTCACTCGGGCCCGCGTCAAATAGCTTCGCGGAGACTTGCCGAGACGGCTTGCTTCAGGTCCTTCAACACCCCAGCTATTCAGTCCAAGTGTATGCTTCACACTGCATGAAGGTGTTCGTGGTGGCATGTCCGCAGCAGCTCCTGCCTTGCCTGTCTGTATGCATGAACAGCTTGACACGGGAACTCTCGCTCCTTGGAGGGGGTCGCAACTCGCAAAGACGTTGCGTAGGATTTGCACATGGCCTTGCGGCTACCCTCAGCGCCAGTCCATCAAGACCTTTGCACGGGTCCTTGGATGTGAACAGTCGTGTGTTGACTATGGCTACAAATCTCCTCAAGTCGAGTAGTCAGTCAGAACTACGTGTATCGAGTACTCAGATCCAAGTCGCATGGATTCTGATAGGTGGGTTGATGGCTTTGGGCCCCAACTTTGTCAAGATCCATCTTTCGCAGCTGTTGTTGCTGTGGAAGAATGCTCTGCCTAAGCCTCTGGCTAAGGATAACACCTCAGCCCGAAGTTTGCTCGAATCATCCTTCCTGACGCATGTGAGAGAGTGTGCGTTGGGATCGATACTGGCATTCTTGCAGTTTAATAGCCGCTTGTTGACTGTCGACGTCTCGAAACGCATAGCCACAATGCTGCAAAGTACAACGGCTTTTCTGCGAACACTGCCGTCCAAGAAAACGACTGAGGATATCTCACAAAGACTGACGCCAGCACTGCAGCTGCAGGATCTCGATCTGATGGTACAACGGCGCGTCCTGCAATGCTACATCAAGCTGATCAACTTGAGCCCCGCCGGCAGCAGCGAGGCTCTTCTCCAGTCGAATCTATTGACACTTGCGATTGCTCTCTTTGCTGATCCAGAAAATTACGCCCCTAGCTCGTTGAGCGCATCGATTGCCAACGCGGCAGGCAATTTCGAGTCGATTTGGGATGTAGGCGACAACACTGGGTTCGGCATCACGGGCTTGGTATCTGGCTTCAACGTACGCAAACTACCTGGGCAGCAGCAAAGCTCAGTTGAAGAAGTTACAGATAACGAAACCCCGGAGAGTGCCATTGATGCCATATTGCGATCACCCGTCTGCGGAAGCTTGGAACACGATGCGTCCGTCCTCTACATTGGCGACTGCGGCGCTGGTCTCACGCCGCATCCGCCGGCCACCGAAGTAATCGATGCAGCCATCCAATTGTTTGCCTTTGCATTCCCCTTGACGCCAGCAAAAGTCCAGGAAAGCATATTGGAGCAGATACGCACGTTTGCATCGGCAGGACCCCTCCAGCGCGATCCTGGTCGCAAAGCCGCTATCAATGTCAACACGGCCACGGCCATTCTGTCGACGATGCGCGTCGCAATGAAAGAGACAACGTCAGCATCAGGCAGTGTCGAGAACATGGCAGTTGAGCGGTTGTTGCAGGATATTGTGCGCGACTTTGTGCTCGATCCTGATCAGTACGTGCGTAGCTTGGGATATGCTGCCGTTGCACGCCTTTGCAATGTCTACGGCAATGCATTCACCAACCAGGAGGTCAAGTTCCTGGTCGACACCATTGTAAGCAACAGAGAGCCAAGCGCACGAGCCGGTTGCGCCATGGCTCTCGGTTCCATCCAGACGAAGGTCGGAGGCATGGCTGCGGGTTACCACTTGAAGACAATTCTCGGCATCCTCATGTCTCTCTGCAACGATCCTCACTCAACTGTCCACTACTGGGCCTTGGAGGCGCTGTCGTTAGCGTCTGATGCTGCTGGTCTCAGCTTCGCAGGCTACGTCCCGAGTACCCTGGGCATGCTTGCGCAGCTCTACGTATCGGAGACTCACCATTGCGAGGTTTCCTCTGTGGTCACCATGAACATGGAAATGGAGCTTCCCACGACAGCGGCGATTGCGAAGGGCGTCGATTCGCTTATCAACGTCTTGGGTCCTGACTTGCAGGACTCTCTGAGGTCACGCGAGCTTATCTTCACACTGGTGGGCCAATTCCAACGTGAATCAGATCTGCTCGTGCAAAAAGCTGCGCTGGGTTGTCTAGAGCACCTATCGTTGTACGCGCCTGGATACATGCAGTTTGGAGAGTACGTCCGACTGCTACAGAAGTACCTCCACTACGAAAATGTCACTCTGCGTGACATTGCGGTGGATGGACTGTACAACATCATGAAAAGGGAGCCACGCGACGTGCTTCGGGAAGCAAATGATGGCTTTGAGGAGCAAATATGGAGAGTGCTCGATACCGAACCTTCGCATGACGGTATCAGAAATCTCATCCGCAACTGGATGCTTCAAACCTGTCTCGCCGAGACAGATGATTGGTTACAGCGTTTTCAATCGGTCCTCAAATTGACAAGGGCAAAGTCACAGGGCCGTGAAGAGGGAGTAGGCTCGGGGAAAGGTGGCATGCCTGATTTGAACGATGAGGAAGTCGCAGGTTTTGCTGCGGCATCCGGAGATGTCAAACAAGACAAGGACAACCCGGCGACATCTGAAGTCGAACCGCTCCGATGGCAGGTCACGACATTCGCAGTCAGCTGTATTCACGCCATGTTCGTACTTGTTGCAAAGGATGCCATGGCCAATGGAGAAAGCCAAGCTCAGGCCGCACTGCAAGCCAGGGTGGCAGATGTCGTCCGCATGGCTTTCTCCGCGTCCACTTCCAGCGTATCAGAGCTGCGCGTCTGGGGCTTGAAGATCATCGGCGCTGTTCTAAAGATGTTTGGAAAGACCCCCGATCCAGACTTTGAGGAGGCCATGCTTCTCGAGCAATACCAGGCGCAGATTAGCTCTGCCTTGACGCCGGCTTTTGCGGCCGACTCGTCGCCGGAGCTGGCCTCAGAGGCCGTCAACATTTGCGCCAGTTTCATCTCCACTGGCATCGTCACCGACATTGACCGCATGGGACGTATTTTGAAAACGCTTGTGAACGCCCTGGAAAGCTTTGCCAAGGACGGAGAGAATGCTTGTATCGGTGACCTCAAGGGCCTGAGTTCGAACGCGCAGGTCATGGTCAAGCTATCTGTGTTCTCCGCCTGGGCTGAACTACAGGTGTCAAGCACCGAGCAGAAATATCTGTTGGATGTTTTGAAGCCTCACGTCGGTACTTTGACACCACTATGGTTGGAGTCCCTACGCGAGTTCGCTCAGCTGCGCTTCGAGCCAGACATCTCCATGACTCTGGGACCCCCTTCCCTTTCCGGCAGCTTAGATACCATCTACGCGGCCCTAAACCGCGAGACTCTACTCCGATTCTACCAAGACGCTTGGCTGAAGCTCGTAGATGCGATCGCTAGTCTGATCGAGCAAGACAGTAATTTTGTCTTTGATGCTCTCGACGGCAAGGGGACTGTTGAATCTGCAGGCAATGGCCAGGGGAAGAGGCCAGGTATCAACTATCGTGATGAGCCAGTTGCCTTCTTCTTTGTACTGTTTGGCCTGGCATTCGAGGCTCTTGCTGTACGCCCTAGTCACGGCTATTCGCTCGCCACGCAAGAGCAAACATTGGCCATTCTGCAAGCCCTCAAGAAGATCTTACACCCTAGTGTTTCGGGCCACGCGATTTACAGGCCGGATGTATTCGCCGAGACCATGGACCTGCTTGATCGGCTGGTCCTGACCGAGGGCCTAGATGTGCAAGGTGCCATTGTTGAGATATCGAGTGCGCTATGCGTCGCGCACCCCTCGGCGCGACGCCACGGTAGCGAAGAAGGCGACCTCTCGGAAGACATCGATCAGCTTTTTGAGCTTACGAGGATCATTGTGCTAACACTGACTGGGCTGCTTCCCAACCTATCCGAGGGCAATCAGCCAGTACGGCACCAGATGAACGAGGAGGCTATTCTACTTGTGCGCTCATCACTAGATGCACTTGTCAATGCCGCCGAGGTCTTCCCATCTATCATCAAAACGGACCTGCACGCCTGTATCATACACATCTTCGCGACGACACTGGCGACGTCGGGCTGCCAGGAGATGATTGTCCCACAGTCGTTGCCCACACTCAAGCGATTCGTTCGCAGCATGTCGGCTTCCAGGAAGCCTTCAGACGAAGGGCCTTCGCAGACGGACGTGCAGTTGCAGGGCTGCCTGCGCCGGTTCCTGTCGATATACCTGAATGCGCAGAAACGAGAAGCGCCCAATTCGCTTGTCTGCGTGCGCAACTGCCTACTAGCCTCGACGATTCTATTCACGAGCGGCGAGAACCACATGCCTGCCACTGATCCTCTTGTCGCCCGCTATCTGGATGAGGTCCTCGATTGCCTCACCGATCGCATGGTACGTACCTCACTGAGATCACGGGCATAATTCTTACTGACACATACATGTAGACAGCTAAAATTGCGGCAAACTGCATCAGGTCTCTGCTCGTGCAGCCGACCCGCACGGCGGCCGACGAGAGCATCGCTCGGTACCTTTTCCCTCGACTGATCACGTTCGTTACAGACGCAGAGTCGGAAGACCCCGAGCGCGCCCGATCGCTCGTATCCATGTCTTTGTGCCAGTTTGTCACCACCGTCGACAAGAGCCGTGTGTCAGCAGCGATGGCACTCCTGATACCCACACTCCTGACCCGCACCACGATTGCTGGCGAAGGGCTGTACAGCGAGACTAGCTCGCGCCTGCTCGAGCTGGCTGCCATTGATCAGGAGGTGTTCAGGGCCGTCGTTGGGGGCATGAGTGCAGGGCAGCGGTCGTTCTTGGAAGAGGTCATCCGATCGGGGCAGCTGGCATCGCGTACCACCGTGAGGGAGGCTAGCGATGGCGACTCGGGACAGCCAACGATCGCCTTGAAGATGGACTTTGGGAACTGATAAAGGAGTTGTTTGCAGAAGCGCAGTGTTCGGTACTATCAGCGGCACATACACCTGGGCGTTCTGGCCATTGCTGGCGCCTACATGCTATATATAGAGAATCGCAAGATGTTAAAACAGCCCGCATGGCGGTAGACATACACCCCAAAGTGCACGACACCACGTATTCAGATATTTTGCTGTGAATGAAGCCGACTGACAATTCTGGAGCCAATCTGAAGGCTTCACCCGCGCTTGAATGAAAAGGTGTCATCGATCATGGTCGAGTCGTCCCCCTCGATGCCCTGTACGCTTCCTGCACTGCCGACCGATCCGCCGAGCATTGTTGGCTCTGCACTTCCCCAGGCTCCTGGGGCCTCGCCCTCGCCGACGGAGACGAAACAGTAACGCTGCGAATCGTTCAGCAACAGGACAGGCTGTTCGTTCTCCCAGTCTACCCAATGCGCCTCCATCTTGCCCTGCGAGGACAGCGCCTGCTCAGAGAGCACACTCCTGGGGCCATCCATGAGCGGATCCCATACGAACGGCAGAGTCCGTCTCTCGTCGACTCTGCATGTGATGAGGAGTAGCTCTTGCACCGTGGGGTGCCATGAGAACGAGACAGGGGAATGGAAGACGAGGACCGCGCGCAGCTCGGAGGCTGCTAGGTCCCATATCCAGACGGTGCTTGGCGATGATTCCATTCTGGTTGCGATCAGGGTGGACGACGCGTCGAAGCACGCAAGGCCACATCCTGTTCTTAGCTCCGGGGATGTCTTGCTGTCAGCAGGTGGCGGTGGTAAGGTGAGCTCGTGCGTGGCGCGGGTGAACGTCCGGCTGGAGGGCTGCGCGGACGCAGCGTGTAGCTGTTCCTGCCATACCTGCGATTATCAGACATTGCACGTTGGTACAGATGTAGGTCAACTCACCTGGACTGTCTCGCTGGGAGCGAGGGCGGATGGGTGCACCAAAGTGATACTCGTCCGCCAGAAGGTCGTGTCCACGAGCGCAACCTCCTTGGAGTGATCCAGTACTGCGCAGACCTTCCCGTCGGGGCGGAATCGCAACGACCGCACGCCAGGGCGAAGTTTGGCGTCCTCGTCGTTGGGGTCGTGGAACCCGGTCAATGTCCGAACGAGCTGGCCATCGGCCGTGCAGAGGAGCACGCGCCAGCCATGCGCCGGTGATTCCCACACCAGAAGCCACTGGCCGTCTGGGGACCAGCAGAGGCCATGTGCGTCGATAGTCTCGGGAGCCCATGATCTCTGCATCTGCCGTGTCTCCGGGCTGTGGATGCTGATGAGGTCTCTGCCACTGACCCTCGTCAAGAGGGCCAGGTGTCCAGAGGCACGTAGTGAGACGCCTCTTGCTGCGGAAGACGGTTGGTAGAATTTTGGGCCCGGGATTTCCAAGCCTTTCGAGGTGCGCAGGTCATAAACCAGAAGCTTTAGTCCCTGTTGGGAGTAGACCAAGATATCTGAATCTCTGTCCGTGCTCCCGAATTGGGTGTGCGAGGGTTTGCCTATGCCGGACAGGGGATTCAGTATGGCAGCATGGTCCGACGGATGCAAAGCAGATAGTGCATGAATTTGGTCCGCAGAGCCGACCAAGATTCTGGTGGATGAGGGAGCCCATAGTAAGGTCGTGATGGGTCTTGATGCACCGGCTGGCAGAGAGACGACATTCAAGGTCTGCAAGGTGCGTGCATCGCGGACGTGGATGCCGTCGGAGCTCAGTGTGGCGACAAGACGACCATTGGGACTGACGATGCAATGATGCGAGGCTGTGGAGGATCAGACTCGAGACTGCGAGAGGAGGCAGAGGTGTCGTGCTCACATGGGAAAGCCGGCGAGAAGTGCATCGCAGGAGAGGACCGACCTAGGTCTTGGGTATTTGAAGACGTTTAGGCTGGTCGACAAGTTGATACAACATCCATCATGCGCTTGTAAAAGTGCCACCACGCCCAGATAATTCTTCAGTTGCTTTTGGCGCCGAGCACGACGTTTTTGAGTCGCGTATTCTTGCTGGTCGATGCGCTGGTCGCGACTCCAATGTCGAGGGACGCGTAGCGGGGTGCCTGTTTATTTGGGCTGTATCCGGGGTGCAAAGCACTCGACGAGTCTGGGCTCGATCCTGTTGGAAGAGATACTTACTTCTAAGGATGTGCTTCTATGTCGGATTGATGAGAGTGGCCAGCAACGCAAATGCCTTTTTTGGGCAGGTGATTCTTATCTCGATTTATGCTTTGTTTACAAAAAGTCTATCATTTAACCACATGACTATTAGCGTTTTTGCCTCGCCTGTGTATTTTACACATTACTATCTCTACTCTACAGTGCACGGCAACTCTAATCAAGGCTTCTGCTGGGACGGGTTGTCATGCTCAATATCTACAGGAATACAAAAGATCCCCGAGATTCTACGATAGGCGGCAGACTGCGTCGGAGGCTACCGATGAATGGTGCAGGGTAGGTGGACAGACGAGAAGGCGACGAGCGAAGTAGTACCGATGCCGCTTCATACATGTCCGCGGATTCATAACTCAACTTACACATCACTCTGACTCAATTTCCATCCATCTCCTGCCCACGTATCATTCCCATTACTATCAGCTCGGCAATACTGGTTGGCCCTTTCTTTTGTTGCATGTATTCCGGAGCACAATGCGCATTTCAAACCCTTTCGCTTAGGTCCGGCCCGGCCGTACGTGCACACGACAGCGGAACATACCGTTGATCAGGGTCCTCCCTCCTGGCGTAAGCCAGCCAAGCGCCTGAAACTCCCAACGCATTACATATTACTGTCCTTCGACAGCATGAGGGCATCACAGAGGACGAGTCCCTTCCTGGCTCTTCGACATGGCATCTCGAGCTCGCTGCTACCAAGTCGCCACTGGGATGCAGCCCCGCGACTGACTTCCAGCCGAGCTGTCAGCTCCTCGGCTGCGCCAGTCACCAGCAACATCGATGGGAACATCGCGCCCGCGCCAGAACCAACTCCAACTCGCTCCAGTCGGCTCAAGGAGGCCAAGCCCTTTTCCGACTTCCTGACGGACACGTTCCACCGTCAGCACGACTACCTCAGGATCTCCGTCACGGAGCGCTGTAATCTACGATGCGTCTACTGCATGCCCGAAGAGGGCGTGCCCCTCTCGCCCAACGAGCACTTGTTGACGACACCTGAGATCGTCATGCTCTCGTCCGTCTTTGTGCACCAAGGCGTCACCAAGATTCGGTTGACGGGGGGCGAGCCTACCGTGCGGCGGGACATTGTGCCCCTGATGCAACAGCTCGGCACCTTGAGACCCCACGGCCTGAATGAAATCTGCCTGACCACGAACGGAATATCACTCCATCGGAAGCTGGACAGCATGGTCGAGGCGGGCTTGACGGGCGTCAACCTCAGCCTGGATACCCTCGACCCCTTTCAGTTCCAAATCATGACCCGCCGCAAAGGGTTCGCGGCGGTGCAGAAGAGCATTGACCGCATCCTGGAGATGAATCGACTGGGGGCCGGGATCAAGCTCAAGATCAACTGCGTCGTCATGCGGGGCGTGAACGACCGGGAGATCCTGCCCTTTGTCGAGATGACGCGCGAAAAGGATGTCGAGGTTCGCTTCATCGAGTACATGCCCTTTGACGGGAACAAGTGGAGCAAGAAGAAGATGTACAGCTACGGCGAGATGCTGGATCTGATCCGAGAGCACCACCCGGGCCTGGACAAGGTACGCGACCACAAGAACGACACGAGCAAGACCTGGCAGGTCCCGGGCCACGTCGGTCGCCTGGGCTTCATCACGAGCATGACGCACAACTTCTGCGGCACCTGCAACCGCCTCCGCATCACCAGCGACGGGAACCTCAAGGTCTGCCTGTTTGGGAACGCAGAGGTATCGCTGCGCGACATTCTACGGCAAGCCAACGGCGGCAGTCCCATTGACGAGCAAGCGTACGAAGCCATGAAGCAGATTGAGATGGACAGGCGGCAGAATTTGGTACCGCAGGAGCAAGCCTTGGGGATCGCACCGGCGGAGGCTGAGCTGCTGCACGTCATTGGCATGGCTGTCAAGCGGAAGAAAGCCAAGCATGCTGGCATGGGCGAGCTGGAGCATATGAAAAATAGGCCCATGATATTGATCGGTGGGTGAGCGTTTTCATACATACGCATATATTTCACCATCATTATATCCCCTAGTACAATACGTCAATAAATAAGTATGTAAATGCGTACATTCACGTACACTTGGTCTCTCGGAGTGTTGGACGGCCAGTCCGAGAGACATGATGTGGGGCCTGGGGTAAGTGACATAACTTGGCGCGAATTTGTTGATCATCAACGCCATCATGAATACCGCTGAATCATGTCCCTGCAGCATCAACACCATCATTTGTCATAGCGATGCCTCCCAGAGTCCCTCGTAGCCCCTTTTTGCCCTTGGGCAGGACCTGCTCGGCTCGCCATCCTCAGCAGCAGCAGCAGCAGCATCGATTCTTCACAGCGTCCCCTCGCGTCCGCAAAGACGACGATGAGAAGTCCCGGCTGACGCACGTCAACCCGTCCGGCGCCGCACACATGGTCTCCATCTCGTCAAAGCAGCCGACCAGCCGGACGGCCGTGGCAGCGTGTGCCGTGCACTTCTCCAAGCCCACCGTGCTGCCCCTCATCGGCGCCAACAGCCTCACAAAGGGCGACGTGCTCTCCGTGGCACGCATCGCCGGCATCATGGCCGCCAAGCGCACGCCGGATCTCATCCCGCTCTGTCATCCCATCCCCATCTCGCACGTCTCCGTCGATCTGGATCTACGGCCTGGCGAGGAGGGGACTGAGAAAAAGGACAGGGTGGAGATCCGGGCGACGGTGTCCTGCGATGGCAAGACAGGCGTCGAGATGGAGGCGCTGACGGCCGCGAGCACGGCGGCCTTGACTGTGTACGATATGTGCAAGGCGGTGGACAAGGGGATGCGCGTGGAGGGACTGAGGGTCGTCCTCAAGGAAGGGGGGAAGAGCGGACGATGGGAGATGGAATGATGAGGCGGCTGTTGGTTAGTATGTATATACGACGCCCACTGATAATCTACGACGTCGGGTGACTTAGATGCTTGCGGTGCCTAGATTGAATGCAAAGCTGGTTAAGTCTGCGCGCCTCCAGTCTGATCTCCAACACGTTACATATCTCTCGTCGTTGGAGAGAGAAAATCCTTGCCCAGGCTTCTCGAGTCCTTCTGCATCGACGATGCGAACCCATGAGGACATGACGCCAGACACCATCAACTTGAAGGGAAAATCTGTCCTGTCCACAACGAGGATGAAGATCACCGTTCTCATCAAATTGAGATGTGAGTGGGTGAAAGGCCAGCTGCAGGAGTGTCGACGCGACGGCCAATTGCCGAGCCTAGAATGTCAGCGCTGGAGAACGGCTACGTCGTATTGCACTATTTGGGTAAGGACCTGCCAAAGGCTACAGGCACCCGGGAGCCGCTAACGGCGAGCACGACAGGGCGACACGCCAGTCAGAGGCTGCGGCGCAGGGGTCCCTGAGGGTCCTGAGGGCCTCGGAGGGTCCTAAGACATCTTGGCAGGTGCCCCCCCCCTGTCCAGTCGTCCCTCCGGTTCGAGTCCAGTCCTTGCTCCATGGAGAAGGCGCGAGAGGCTGGAGGAGGGACTCCAACAAAAGACCCCGATGTCCCGATTCATCAACCCCCCTCCATGCCAATATTCCATGGCTTTTCGAAACTTCGATAGAATCTAAACATTGCTTCTTCCTTCACGGCGGCTGTTTCACCAGAAAACGACGTACGTGGTACACGACACACGTCACAGCATCTCGCCAGACTCGTCCCACGCGATAAGCACACTCGTATAAACCACTCACGACTTATTACTGCCAACCCCTCCACGCCTAATAATCACTTTTGCCCCCCTCTCGAAACGACACGCGACCAGATACCCAAACCGACCACACAGCACCTACACACTCGCCTTCAACATGGCTTCCGAATTAATTATGCCCAACATGCTACCGACCGAGCAGAAGCTCCCCTATACCCCTCAGCACCAGCCCCAACCCCAGGACTCTCGGCAGCATCTTCAACGGCCTCAGCGTGTCCGCTCCACATCCTATCACACACCACCAGGCTCCCAGCAGATCTCACCGCTGAGCACTTCAGGCCAAGAGCAGCAGAGGTCGTCGATGCCCTCGTCGCCCAAGAGCAACAATGATCGCCAGACTGGTCGCCCAATGTACATGCCGGCCGTCTTGCGGCCCAATAGCGACTTCACACAAGTCTCACGGACCAGCACGGGCACCTACTCGCCCGTGTCAGAGCACAGCCGCAGTCGTCGCAACTCGAACAGCGGGACGTTTCGCAACGTGCCTGGCTTTGGTGTCATCCAGAGGCTGAGTCGACGCTCCACGGACGAGTTGGCCAAGGAAAAGGAGCTCGTCGGCACCCTCGATCACAAGCTGTTCCCCGAGGTGACAGACGCTCCGACGCGGCAGCACTGGAAGGTAAGAGACTGCCCCCCTGGTCCCTCGATGATCCCTCATCGTTCAGAGTGCTAACTACCACCCAAAGCCTGACCCGGAATCCTCCATCTGCGACGATGCCACTTGCCGGCGCGGCTTCAGCTACTTTGTCCGTCGCCACCACTGCCGACGATGCGGCAACATCTTCTGCGACGAGCATTCCAGCTACGAGATCCCGCTCGACCAGGACGCCAACTACAACCCCCGCGGCGCCCCATCGCGCACCTGCAACCACTGCTTCGAGGAGTATCGCGTCTGGCACAGCCGGAACAACAGCCACAGCTCGAGCTCCGTGTCGTCAAACGACATGCCTGTCACGCCCATCTCCGCGCCCGGGGGCCCGAATAAGAATCTACAGGCCGGCCTGCAGCTGGCAAAGAGCCCCAACGCGGCCGCCAGTGTCCCCCGCGACTGGTCCTGGAGCACCTTCTAAACGATATTCTCTGCAGTTCCGCATGGCCGTGCCATAGAGAGTGTAACGAGTCTGCGGCAGCATCGGCGGTCATTTTTCGCCACATATCACACTCGTGGAATTACCTGCGTTCCACAGTTCAAACCTTCACTTCAAGATCGACATATACACACGTACTACATACTTTGAAACGGCCGCACATTTAAATTGGGCCTGGCGTTTGGGATTACGATAAGCGCTGTCGACGACAGCCAATTGCTTTTGCTTTTGCTTTACTACAAGCACAAATACAGCGGAGTCTTTTGAGCCATGAGCAGGCCTGGCGGGCGTTGTTTGGAATTTTAGAATAGTAGAGCGCATATAGATGGTCTGAACTTTAAACTATCGATAGATCAATTAGATGAGTATCAAAGCGTTGTATTGTCTCACACTTTCTCTCTCAAGTTCCCGTACCCCACGTGTGAACGTCATATATCTGTCCCACGCAGATCATCTTATCAAACTTCCACTAGCAATGTAAAGACTGACTCGGGATTGATATCGCTTCCTAGCTATTAACTATGCTCATCTAGTCTAGTACCTGAGGTAGGTAATGTTTGCAGACTCCGATCCGAGGACACGACCAATAAAGAGACTCGACCATTTTCCTTTTGTTCATTCCAAACCAAACCATCACCACCCAAAAAAACGCCCGATGCCGACGCCGGATGCCATGTAATGTATTGTACCCGAAAAAGACAGCAAATGCAGAAACGCAACCTCCTTTATGAATGAACGACGACTTTGCGCGCTTCCTCGTGCCGGCTCCAACTGTCTACACTCTATGCCCTCCTCTTGGAGCCCTTGGCAGCCTTGCCCTTCTTGGGAGAGTCGTCGTCGGAGATGGCGCTCCCGTTGGCGCCGTAGACCTCCTTCTGCACGCCCTTGGCGGCGTCCCAGCCGGCCTTCTCGGCGAGCGTGACCTCGTTGCTGAGTCTGCGCGAGGCCAGGCTAGAGCCCTTGCCGTTGATCTTGTTAGTCTTCTGGGCGGCGTTGCTGCGCTTGAGGTAGCTGGCAATGAAGAAGCTCATAAAGAGGTAGGTCAGGGGCGCGAGGTAGAGGACGTTGAGCCAGATGGCAAAGGTCTCGCCGGTGGTCATGATGCAGGGCTGGGTGACGTGGACGGTCTGGGCGTTGAGGGTTGACTCGACGATGGAGCCGCCGGGGGCGGTCTTGGCGTGGCCAGCGGCGTCGCCAAAGACGAGGTTCCTAATCGCGTCGAGGGCGCCCGCGTCGGTGGCCGGTGCGGAGGGGGCGTCGACGGGGACGGAGACCTCGTTGACAACGGTCATGGGGACGACGTAGGAGACGAAGGAGTGGAGCATGGTGTAGGAGCCGCCGAGGAGGAACTGGGTGATCTGCATGGTGGTGAGAGAGCGCTTGATGGCGACGGGGACCTTGATGTGGAAGGCGGTGACGGTGTAGTAGGTGTACATGAGCGAGTGGATGAAGGAGTTGACGAGGACAAAGACCCAGATGGGCGAGGACATGAAGCGGATGCCAGCCCACATGCAGAGCATGGCACCAGCGTGGTGGTACGTCTGGAGCGTGGAGCTGGGCTTGCCCTTGGCGAGGATGATGAGGGTGTCGATGACCTCGTAGAACTTGCTGAGGTAGAAGATCCAGCCGTAGTAGGCGAGGCCCTCGTTCCAGAGACGGCCGCCCTGGGCGCGCGAGGGCATGCCGTTGTCGAACGCGCCGCCGCCAGCGGCCAGGGTGGCCCATGCGCCGGTGGTGTCGTCGTGGTAGATGGAGTTGCCGAGGCCTGGGGCGCCGAAGACGCGGCAGAAGGAGTCGGCGGTGCCAGCGAGGCCGGTGGAGGCCATGGGGCTGACGATGCTGCGGCGCATGCCGCCTAGCATGCCGACAAAGGTCCAGGCCGAGTAGACGGCGAGGAAGACATTGTGGAGAATGACGAGGACCTTGAAGGCGCTTGTCTTGGAGACGGCCCAGGCCTTGTTCCCGCGCGACTTGTTGTAGTAGTTGAGGAGCTTGACGGTGACGGCGTAGGTGGCCGCGATAGTGATGGGGACCTTTGCGTCGAGCGCTGCCGTGAACCAACTGTCCGGGATGTTGAACGGGTGCAGGATTGAGTTGGGCTCTGCTGGGGGAGGCACGGGCGCCGCATGGCCGGTTGGTGGGAAGGCAAAGAGCGCTGGTTCTGGCATGGTGGCCAGCAAGCTCAACGTGTCGGCCATTGTGGGCTTGTTGTTGGTGATGATGAAGAGCTCGTATGGGTGCTCGCTCGCTTGCTCAAATTGTCGACTGAAGGTTGACTATAACTGAGTGGGTTGGAAGTCGTTAAAGTCGGTATGAGGATATGTTCCAGGGCGTAGGTAAGAGATGAAGCACAACGCTGACGACTGGAAGAAGGATGGAGAAATGAAGTAGGAAATGTCAAAGACGACTGGACGTGAACGGCCAGATATTACACAGTCCAGGCAGGCAGGCGGTGGGTTGGTTGGACTGAGGAGGAAGGAGCTGGCTGGAAGAAGGACCTGCTCCGAGTTGTTGTGCAACCTTGCTTGACTTGGCTCCAGATTAGGTAGAGAGATAGACAGACAGGCCAGACCGACTGGCCAGTGGGTATAATAATAAATGAACGGCTAACTGAACTGAGGACTCTACATACGTATAAGCGGGAGTGGAGACGCCGGGACGCCGCGGTGGCCGTGGCCCTTGGGAGGCGAATTGGCATGCAAAGAGGCTGTGATGATGTTTGCGGGCGGGTACGCAATGCCAGACCAGACCCAACAAGCTTGTCTTGGTTGCACAAGCCTTTGAGTTGTTGGTGGACGTCCCGGACGTAGAAGGGGTTCTTCTGCTCAGCTACAGAAACTAGGTTTGGCTGGTGTCTCGCCCATATACTTGCAATTGAATAGCGAATTCATTCAGATGCTATTGCTCTCAGACTGCTATCACTATCAGATCGCGACAGAGTCGCAGACGGACTCGAGCTCGGTCGACTCCCAGCCGATGCTCTTCATGTGAGATCGGACCCTGCCAATCTGCGCCAGGGACCCTCCCCCATCCGTCCCAGCTACCTCGGCATCTTGGTCGCGCGCAGTGAGCACATGTCTCTTTTCCAGAAACATGATGGCTTGCGGCGTGGAAAAGAAAAAAAAAAAGAAGTTGGGGCTCGGGAACGTCCCACGGCCAGGGGTCCAGCGGTGGGGCAGTCCCGATCGGGCAGTGGGGGTCGCCGGCGACATGCGTCTGATAGCACTACCACTGAGAACCCTCCAGTACACTAGCAGATGGAAGTCCTGCCCGGTTTTGTTGTTGAGGCGCTAGTGGCTGCCGGTGGACCCTGACATGACGGACATTCAAGCTTCATTCTGCCAAGTTCACAGGCTAATAACACTACTAGTGTCTAGTGATAATGAATTTTCGAGTGTTCGAATGTACTGCTTACAAGCTGGAATTCCTGAAGCCACCAGATCATCTGCTACAGGCACTCATCGGCTCATTGACAACGGTAGCTGGGGACAGTCTGCGCCGCAAGGCGACGCGTCCTCTGGAATTGATCGCCGCGCAAACCTGCATGACCGCCTCCCAACAAATGTGGGTGGGTTCGCCTTGTTAGGCTTGTTTGACGTTCCCCAGGACCGTTGGCCCCTCTATTCCTCGGAGAGACGGAGGCATCTTTTCTACTCTGGGCCGTAGGGTACGTAGTACGGTGCGTTTGTACCCGATTGTTGGAAAGGGTAGCGTCGGCCAGGCATGAGGAACTGACCAACACCCTCGGAAGCTCGTCTTGTTCTGGCACTCAATTGATCACCATCAAATTGCACATCTATCAAGCATCCACTAGACTTCAACCAGTATTCGCTCCACCCCCAGATCAGGCTGTCCACTCGCCCGACATCCACCGGTTGATCATGTCGCTCGCCGCCTCCGGCTGGTCATAAGGCACCATGTGCCCGGCCTTGAAGATCTTGACAAACGTAAAGTTGTGGCTCGTCTTGACGCGACCGTACCTCTCGCCATCCTCGTCCCCGCCATACGTCAGGAACCCCAGCTCCGCCTCGTTGAAGGCATCCCTGTGCGCCCACTCCAGCCGCTCCACCCACGCCTTGATGCCCAGCCAGTTGCAGATAAAGTCGGCGTCGCCCACGTAGATGAGAAAGGGAATCTCCTCGAGCACCTTGGCCGTCAGCCGGTAGAACGGCTTCATCCAGTCCCCCGTGAGCGTAAAGTCCCGGTTCACGTCCCAGTTGCAGCTACCGTAGTGGTCCACCTCGGACCCCACGGCCTCAATGACCTCGGGCTGGTTGAGGTAGTCGGTCACGTACTTGATGCCCGTGTAGCAGAGGTTCGCCTCGTCCTCGCACGGGTCGCGAATGTCGTACGGGTTCCGGCCCGACCGCGTATACGGCAGGATCAGCGCGTTGTTGCAGTACAGGTGCGCCGGCACGCACGTCCAGGCGCTCTCCGTGTCGTAGCAGCGCTGGATCAGCGACTGGCACCGGTCCAGCGACTTGTCCATCACCTCGCACTCTGGCTCCTCGAGCACCGCCGGCCAGCCGCCCGCCCCGTCGCACGCGTACGGCTTGTAATAGGCGTACTGCGTGAGCACGTCCGAGAGGCCATTGCCGACCATGGCGCTCTTGATGTTGATGTTGCGGTGCGTGTGCGACAGGATCTCCGCCGCCATGGCTGGGATGTAGTGGCCCCCGTACGACTCGCCAGCAAGGTGAAAGTCCTGCGTGGCGTACTCGGGGAACTGGTGGAAGAACAGGCTGAGCATGGCGTAAATGTCCTTGGCCGACTGCGTCGAGTCCTTGACGGCCTTGGGGCTGTGCGAGTACCCCACGTTGACCGGCTGCTCGATGAAGATGACGGACGCATTGTTGTTCCAAGCGTGCGGGTTGCGGACAGGCTCCAGCTTCTCGTTGATCCGGGCGGGACCAAGCTCGAAGAACAAGCCCACCATCGAGGAGCATCCTGGACCACCGTTGAGCCAAAGGATCACGGGGTCGTTCTTGGGGTCGTTGCGAGACTCAAAGAACCCTAGTCTGGTCAGCCATGGCTCTCATCCATACATGTACTCGAGTTTCGCGTCGTTGAGATGTCCTTACAGAAGAAGAGGTGCTTGTCTTCCTCGTACTGGTCTAGATAACCAGAGTACTGCTTCACGTCGTCCACCTTGAGCTTGGACGGATCGACCGACTTCACCCTCAGGCCGTAGTCGCTCAATTCTCCGTCCACCTTGCGGTGCGTCTCGCCCTCTGTCTCCACAACGATGTCTGCGACGTCGGCGCCCTTGACGTGGAAGTCATAGTCGCTCGCGGGGCGCCTTGTTGCTGGCTCCGGCTGAGCGAGCGTCGCCTTCTTGAATGTCTCGAGGGCACCAGGCACCAGCATGGACACCTCGTTCCAGGTAGCCTTGATCTCGCTGGAAGCCTCACCCCAGAGGTTCTCGAGGGGAGACCACCAGCTATCCGTGTCAATGGCACCAAAGTCAACAGTTGGTAGCTTGCCGCCGTTTAGAACCTTTTGTTCCTGGGCGAGAGCCGACGAGGCGGCGGCCGCACCCAAGGCGAGGACAGACTGGGAGAGACGCATCTTGACCGAAGGGTACAATCACAACCGAATGACCATATGGTATGAACACACAGAAGGAAGAAAAGAGAGAGAGAGAGCTCACCGTCCATGGCAGACGGGGCTGACCGACGTAATATCTTCCTGCCTGGGAGCACAGCGATCCTTCGACTAACACCCCCGCAGTCCGTTGATCAACGGCGCGGCACCGATCTCCGGTCCGTAGTGGCCTAACAGGTTTGTGAGTAAAATTGCTGGTCAGGTGTTTGTGCACTGTCTGCTCCGGAGCCGAACCGTCGCTCGGCCGGGGTCTAGCCGCTATCCACGACATCGCGCCGGAAGTCTGATGCCAATTGAATTTGAAGAATGAAACTTTGAGATCACGACGAGATAAACATCGACTGTAGGCTTACAACAATGTCTACTTCTTGTATTATCTCTATGTCGACGCCTGTGTGGCAGCCTTGGCCGCTTCCTTCTCCGCCTTCTGCTGCGCCAGCTTCTGCTCCTTTAGGAGCTTCTTTTGCGCATTCTTCGACAGCTTGCCGTCGCCAGCCTCACCACCCTCCTTTTGCTCGCCGCCCTCGGCCTTGACGGGCACCACAAGGTCGGCGCGTGGGACCTTGGGGTTGCCGGCCCACTCCAGTGGTCGCGTCGCCATGAACTCGTTGACAACGTCCTCTGTGACCTTGGCCCTGCGCTCCTGGAATCCGGTGACGTATTTCTGTAGGTGCTCGATGCAAATGTTCTTCATCTAGACACAGTATGTATGAGTGGCTTGCCATCTTTGACAGTGGGGACGGGGAAACAAGGCAGACATACCTCTCCAGTGAGCAATTCTCCGCTCCTGTACTCGCGGTTCAAGCGGGCAAGTTCCTACTACCATTAGCCTCAAACTCTCTCCTCGTAGACAAAGTCTCATACCTCGTCGTCGTCCATCATGAACTGCAGGTACTGGTACGCCACATCGACATCGGGGTTCCCGCCCAGCTCGCGGTGCTCCTCCAGCGTCTCCTGGCCACCCGAGAAGGCGTACTTGTTGATCTTGGTCTTGATCTGCTTCGCCGTGTCGCTCAGGAAGATGGCCGAGTTGGCGTCACTGGCCGACATCTTGGAGCCAGGCCCTTGCAGGGCATCGAGGAAGCGCATGTGGATGAGCGAGGGCTTGGCGTAGCGCAGGCCGTACGCCGCATCGCGCGTGAGACGGAAATAGGGGTCCTGGTCAATGGCGCACGGGATCAGGCACGGGATGCCCGCCACGCGCTTCTCGTCCGCGCCAAAGATGTGCGGGAAGGACGTCGCAAAGGCCGTGGCGCCCTGGATGCTGGCAAAGTGAATCTTGCCAATGTTGGAGCTGCAACAGAGTAAGCCTTGACGGACGCACGCACGGATGGCTCAGCGAGCAGAGACAGCTACTGACCTCCCGTCGAAGCCAAAGATGGCCTTTGCGGTGTTGTATGTCACGCGCTTGGAGAAGCGCACAATGTTGCGGTAGAACGCGCCACCGACATACTCAAAGTCGGAGAAGATAAAGGTCTTCTTCGGGTCGAATCCAATGGCGATAATGTCCATAGCATTCGTCTTGCTGTACCCAATGACCTCCTCGACGGTGCGCTTCTCGGAGAAGAGGAACTTTTCATCTGCCAATGGGTCAGCACGACTGACAAGTTGTCGCGTCGCTTGGAGACAAAAGCAAGACTCACCATCTGTCAACATGATGATCAGGGGCACATCGAGAACGTCCTGCAACCACCTGGACGCAAGATTAGGAACATGCTTTGCTTGCGGGGGGTCCTTGTGGGCTGGCCTCCTTACTTGACAAAGTCGAACACCTGGGTGTGGCCTACGTGCATGCTGTCACTGCTCGGTCCGCGCCCCGTGTAAAGGTAGAAAGGTTCATTCTGTGCCACCCAGTCAGTCAGGGCCCAGTTGGTGAAAGTCAATGCCAAAACTCACCTTCTCGTAGCGATCCAGGATGAGTGACAGGTCCCTGTGACTGAACACAATCTGCCGCCTCATGAACCGATGCGGCTTGTGACCCGTGACCTTTTCCCAGCGCTCGAGGAGCTTGTCGTCGATAAGAGACGTGCCAAACTCGTTTGTGAGCTTCTGGTAGTCAATGGCCTTGACCTTGCCATCCTCTCCCACCTCGCCAGATACGTTCCAGGGATCAATCTTCTGGCCGCCCGAGATGGCCTGGGTGGCTTCAACGTCGGCGGGTGCCGGTGGCACAGGCTGCGAAGAATCCGCCATGGTGGTCGATGGTCAATGATCGAGCGCTGGGGATTGTGAGGTGAGCCGAGCCGAGCCACTGTCTTGTATTGATCCTCGCTGGAAAGGGTGCCAGTGAGTCAGTCCGTTTCGACTCCGTTGTGACTCAAGCAGTCAAGACTCAAGAGTCAAGGGGCCCTTTTGAGGACTGAATTTGGAAGGCGGGGCATGAGCCTCCAGTGGTGGGGGGGAGGCCGACACAATACTTTGAGGACACGCGCGCAGCAGATCGGGATACCTTCGTTAGCAACATGGCATTTTGAACTACTATCTGCTTGTTTTACGATTCACTCACAGATGGAGTATTACTAATGGCGATTTTAATGGCGTAAAAGACTGATATGCAGCGTATGTAGCTCGCAGCGCAAAGCACCAGTCCACTGACTTTAATGTCAGCAGTCACAAAGCCCAGAATGTCTTTTGGCGGGGTTGGAATGAAATTTTGGAGGCCCAGGCTTGCAGTACTCAGGCGGGCGGGCATCTGGGAATATTATGACATATCCGCTATCCTCACTCCAGTCATCGTCATTTCTCAGTACCAGGTCCATCCATTATAAACACAACGTCCAGCGGCTCCCATTTTTAGTTCTCTCCCTCCCAAAGACCTCTCACACACACAGCCGCCACCATGTCACGACAGATCAACCAACCATCCAACCAGATCAAACTCACAAACGTCTCGCTCGTGCGCCTCAAAAAGGGCAAGAAGCGCTTCGAGATCGCCTGCTACAAGAACAAGGTCCTCGAGTACCGCTCCGGCATCGAGACGGATCTCGACAACGTCCTGCAGATCCCCAACGTGTTCCTCAACGTGTCCAAGGGCCAGACGGCCCCCAAGGAGGACCTCGAGAAGGCGTTTGGCAAGGGGAAATCGACCGATGATATCATCCTGGAGATTCTGAAAAAAGGCGAACTACAAGTCGGCGAGAAGGAGCGGGCCGCCCAGCTAGAACGGGTGCACAATGAGTTGATAGGCATCGTGGCCAGTAAACTCGTCGATCCGAGGACAAAGAGGGTGTACACGTCGGGCATGATCGAGAAGGCGCTCGACATGCTGAGCTCGGCGGCGCACACCAACAGCGCGGACAAGAGCGCCACGGCCAGTGGCACGGCCACCCCGACGACGACGACGGCTGGCGAAGAGGGCGACGCGAAGCCCTCGCGGGCCAAGGAGCACACCTGGACGGGCGTCGTCACGACCAAGAGCGCAAAGAGCCAGGCCCTGGAGGCCATGAAGGCACTCATCGCACACCAGCCCATCCCCGTGGCCAGGGCACGCATGAAGCTGAGGGTCACATGCTCCACAAACGTGCTCAAGCAGGCCGTCAAGTCCAGCGGCGGCGGCGGCGGGAAGGGTGCGTCCAAGGAGGACGACGGGGAGCAAAAGGCGGCCGCCCCAGGGACCGTCAAGGACCGGATCCTGGGCTACGTGGAGCAGGTGGAAAGTCAGGATGTCATGGGGTCCGAGTGGGAGGTCGTGGGCTTCGTGGAGCCGGGCGCGTACAAGGCGCTGTCCGACTTTATCGCCAACGAGACAAAGGGGCAGGGACGGGCCGAGGTGTTAGAGATGGCCGTGACACACGAAGACTAACGATAGATGCAACGTAGATAGATACCCCTGTCCTCAAGCAGCAAACACCCTTCGCATATGCACAGCAGATTTTGTTTTTGAAATGCTTTTTTGATCATTGTTGTCGATCCTAGCCGTGTGTTCCCGAAAGCAATCCGTTCAATATGCTCATCAAAGTAGAGAACCCAGCCGTCACGCCTAATATCCCACTCCCCAAACGTAGTAGAATCATGATGCTTCCTCGCGTCCCGTCGTTTAACCACCCTTCCTCTTGGAGACACCGACAGTCCTGCCACGGCGGCCGGTGGTCTTGGTGTGCTGACCACGCACGCGGAGACCCCAGTAGTGACGGAGACCACGGTGGGCGCGGATCTTCTTCAGGCGCTCGAGATCCTCGCGGAGCTTGGAGTCGACACCGTTGGCGAGGGTGTGCATGTCCTTGCCGTCGACAATGTCGCGCTGCCTGTTGAGGAACCAGGTGGGAATCTTGTACTGCGTGGGGTTCTGGATGATGGTGACGATACGCTCGAGCTCTTCCGAGGTGAGCTCACCAGCACTACAGGCGATTGTTAGTCCTTTGTCTCTCGTCCCTGTCTGCTTGAAGCATGGGGTTCCTGCGTACCGCTTGTTCAGGTCGACATCGGCCTTCTTGCAGACCAAGTTGGAGTAGCGGCGGCCGACACCCTTGATCTTGGTCAAGGCGTACATGACCTTTTGCTTGCCATCGACGTTGGTGTTCAACAGACGCAAGATCTATTGCAGACCACGTTAGCCAATGTCCCCCAAGTCATGTTCGTCGCGTGTGTGTGTATGTGGTGGATGTTTCCATCAAAGTGGTGCGCGCGCGCCGCCGTCGAGGTGCTCTGCTCGGGGGGCAATGCCATCGTGGCAAAAGAGGGTTGTGTGGTGATGACTTACGAACTGGAAGTTCGTCTTCTCCCCGGAGACGAGCGACATGATGGGCAACTGGGCGGTCGGTTGCCTTGTGTGTGCTCGTTGTTGAATTCGATGGTTTCGGGCGAGGTCGAAAAGAAGGGCGGAGATTTGGTCGACTTCACCCAGACGCTGTGAATTTTTGGCGTGTGGGGCGGTAGGTAGGGCAAGAGTGGTGCGCCAAGGTCACGTGTAAGGATGCTGCAGCTCGGCCATGACCACCGGCGAAAAGGATGTTCCGGATGGGCTGCCCCATGGCTTGCTTCCGAGTCCCTGCCGCAGCGGGTTTCAAGATGAACAGGACAAATTCTGCTTGAGACCATGAACTTCACTCAAGAGATATTAACGAACCAAAGCCTGCGTCGCCTGGCCTATATCGGGCTCAGAGAGATGGGACGCATCGCTTGCAAACAAAGGTAATCACTTGCTCGTAGACGTGAATGCACCGTCTTTTGCCATCGCTCGGTCAACTGTCCCAAAGGTTGATCTTGAGCCGGATACCTGGGCACTCGTTGCCTTTGTACGAGACGAGAATAACCCCGACAACGGTCTTTGAGTACGGTGCCTTTAGTGTTCTCACTAAATGAAGGTCTTCGTAATTTATCAGTTGTTACATCTCATTATCTCATCAGTGATGGTCGGGACTGAGACACTCGGCCATCTGACCTTTATCACGAGCACCTTCGGATGCGCCTACGTCAAATGAGGATGTTTGTTTGTCTTTGCATGCAGGTATCACAGTCACAGTGTCTCGGGATTTGTGGTGATGATCGGCGTATCATTAATGCCGAGGCCGACACGTCTAGTGAATCAAGGCCGCTATGTCTAAATCTATCGTAGCTCTGCAACCACCATCAGAGCCGTGCCGACGTCGGTCCCGACCCGGATACAATTCCCTCTATTAGATTTCAATGCTGATACAGCGTAGGCGGCACCAACATTCAAGAGTTGATATGACAACCTGGTTGTTTGTCCTGGGGGCCGCCAGGTGTAGTCGCCTGATGTGGCTCGGGCGGCTATGGGCCAGGCCAGGTTGGAGTTTCTCAAGTGAGACGCTCACTTGTTGATGCAACGTCATGTCAAATATAGTTGCACATGATGCAACACTGGTAAAGACGAAGCAGCCCAGTAGTGACTGGCTCTGTGCACCTGCTCTGTTGAACTGTGCCACGTCGTTGGGTGCACGCTGAGATTGTCGTGGCGACGTGCGCCAGAGAGCCGGCGGCAGAATTGATTCTGCCGCGCAAGCTTGATGAACCGTCGGTACGACCACGCCGAGTTGGTGTGGTGAATGTCGTGGGCGGTCGAGGCTCACCCGAGCACACCCACCACAACAGCCGTGGGCAGGCTGCTTTGGGCGGGTTGTGCGGATTCGGGGGCCAGAGGGCGGTGTGGCGGCGCCTCCAGTCGTCAACTCCAGTCGGTGTTTGGAAAGAACCGAATGCGACCGGGTAAAGTAATTAGTCGCTTGCTACGTGTAGGTAGCGAAGCGAAGCCAATTGGTAGTTTGCAATGAATCCGTATTCTTCTTTCGCGGATTCATTCAAGCTCGTGTCAAGTCCAGGGTGGTGGACGCGCCCGAAGTTGTGTAGCTGCCGTCCGTGTGATCGCCATCGATGCTCGCTGCGCGGGTGCAGCAGGGGCTCCATTCGTAGTCGGCGCAGACTTGGCTCATGCGGTCTGGGCTGGAGCCGAACTCAAAGGTGAAGCCGCTGAGCATCTCCTGGTGCTTAAGGTTCTGGGCCGTCAATGGCTTGTCGCGGGGATGCACCGGCCTGCCCTTACTCTTGGGCTTGCTCGCGGCATTGGCCTTGGCCTGCCGGGCCTTTTCCTTCTCTTCATCCTTCTGCTTCCTGCGCTTCTCCTTCTCCTGGTCGGTCCGCGATGTCCAGGACCAGAGAGCTCTTGGCGATGTCGAACCAGCGGTGAGGTTTGTGAGGTTTGTGTTCTCCCGATGGAGGGAGGAAGGTGTGGTCGAGCCCGAGCCGGAGTAGCTCGAGTTAAAGGTGTTTGCGTTGGCGACGGGCCGGATCTGAATAGCCTCTGTTTCTGATGTGCTGGACTTGTGCAGGGCACGGCGGACTCGATCACGGATGGCCATGACGGGCGATTGTCTGTGTCCGGGACTGGAGGGAGAGGTGGTAGGGTTGGTTGTGGTGGTCTGGGAACGCTGCGTGATGCGCGAGATTCGTTACTTGATTTGGTAGGCAGGCTCAGCTGAGGCGGCGGCTAGCACGTTGGGATCGACTCTTTTGGGCGTTGGAAGAGGGTAATAGCACGAAGAAATCAAACACGTAAATAGGTATTCAATGGTGACCGTAGACTGAGCAAAGATATGAGGTGGGAGACCCTGAATTTAAGACAACAAGAGGATCGAGAGGAGGCGGGCGTGCTTGGGGCCAAGGCCAAGATCCGGGCAGACGAAGACTAGGCTGGGGCCTGGCTGGGCAATCTGATGATGGCGCCTGCGGGGCGGATCATGGGTGGATGGATTCGTGGTATGGAGGGTCGGCGCTGTCGGTTCCACCCTCCTGGAGCGCGCCCCAGGGCCGACTCCACGATGATGACAACTGAACCCCAACTGAACTGAAGAGCACGAAGCGCGAGGGTGCGCACCAAAGATTGAAAGGCCCGGGCGAGGCACGGAGTACGTACCTCGCAGAAATCTGCCAGGCAGGCAGCCACGAGTGGGATGATGGATGGATGGGAGGGGCCCAGGCCCCTGATTTGCACGGTCCAGTCCGGTCGTCTCAATTCAGTGCCTGCAGTCCAAGACTGTCAAGTGCTGCAGGCGCAACTGCCTGCGGCGCTGCGCTGCAAGCGAGAAACGCGCCGGGCGCAGCGCTATGTACGTTCCGATGCGCGCTAGGCAATTATCACTGGCGGCCACCCGTTTCCAGTTTTCCACTGCCCAGCCGTTATGGCCGTCGCCTGTCCGGCCGGACCGGTCTGCCTTCCAGAACGAATCGAATGCTCACCCACCTGCACATGCAGTGACTGGAGTGTACTCCGTACAATTTTTCCTCTCATGGCGGAGAACATATGTTGCTCTGGATGATGAATATTCCCAGACTTGTCAAAGCCACGAAATCCCTATCCGAACGCTCCGAGCAGTGGGCCGGATGTCTGTACTCCGTACCGTACTGCGTCTTTCCAAGCTTCCAGCCACCGGTTGCACTATCGACAAATGAAGCATGCGTGCGGAGTGGGAGGAGGACCGGACACCCCCACGCCTCGGCCTGACATACGCCCGAATGATGCTGAAGAAATGTCGCGGCTAGAGACAGTACAAAGGACCTTGTCGGCCCTATCATCTACGTACTGTACATGCCGACCAACCCAGCGACACATGGTGGGAGGCTCGAGTTCAACGCAGGCTGCTCGCGGCGATGACTTGGAAATCCTAGGGACGATGACCGCATTGTCACCACGCCGCCGGCTCCTACGTAAGCTGTTATTGTGTTTCGCATGAACAATCCAACCCCATGTACGTACCACGACGTATCGTCGCCGAGGGTCTGGCAAGGCCTGTGACTCGTGAGCACTCAGCACCGTAACTGAGTTACGTACCTACGTAGGGAACCTCTGAGAATGAGCCATTTTCGACTCCAGACCCAATTCTTCCCCCAAGCGGAGCCCCCGGATCAAGGTCCAGTCCCAGACTGCCAGCGCTCCAGTCGGGAGACTGGACGCGGCGGGAATTGTCGCGCCAGAGAATTTGCCGCTTCCAAGGCCCTCGAGTCTCGACACCCGGCGCACCGTGTCACCCAAAGACGTCACCTCAGCGACATGGAACCAGGAATTCGACCGGGCTCGTTCCGGCGTCCACTTATGCCCACAGTGCACACCCACCACCAAGAACAACAGCAATTGCAACAACAAGTCGGTGGCCACTGTCCGTCCGTCCCTCTTGGCCAACTCTCGGCGATTCCTGTCCATTGGCTGCTTCACGGAAGAGCTGGAGCTCGCAGGTGTTGCCATTGGAATGCATAGCTCGATGTAGCACGGGGAAAGCGTATGCCGATGTTCTTGAAAGAATCGATTACTGCATGTTCTCTTTGATTGTGAGAAACACGAAAGCTCATCAGTTCCACCGCCACTGTATCGTTCAAAATGGGCGCCAGGCCTACCTACATACTTACTGTGCTCACTGTGCCGCTGGCGAGCGCGGTCGGCCCGTGTGGTCGTTGCAATTTTCAATGGATGGCTTGAGGCGGCTCAATGTCACGGAAGCACCGACAGCTCCATTCGTCTCACGCAGCTTTCAATTCAAAGCAATAACAAAGCAGGCGGCGGATCCGGAATCTCCAGCTCTCAAAATCCCCAGAGTCACGTTACGTTTAGCGACCCCCCTATTCCCCATACTTGTCGTTCACTCAGTAAACAAGACTACTCTGCTGTTGATTCTTGTGCAGATTCTCACCGACTCCTTCAATCTGGAAGTTTTGTTCTTGTTCTGACATTGAGCGCGGGGTCCAATGAGATCACGTCTTCGCTTACTCCATACACTTGACATACTTGTAGTCATACTCACTTTCCCGCTGTTGCCCCTTTGTCCAACGGTACCTTAGCAATGCTTTCCAACAACACTCTGATGTCCAGTGCGAGTCGCTACGCGGGATCATCGCGCAACACACTCACTGCCCAATACCCCCGCGCTCCCGGCCCCGAGACCACCCAATGCTGTCAGCCCCCAAGCAACAGCGCTCGATTCCCAATCCAGCTCACCGGCTTCCGCAACTTCATCGCCTTCGACCAATGCGGCAGCCTCTGATGGCGTGGGCTCGTACGAAGCGTCACTAACGGCGTCAGACTCTCTCTTGACCTTGCGAGGTCGTCCGCGGCGACGCGGCGAGGAAGCCTGCTCATCATGGCGAGGCTTGGTTGTTACCGCCCGAGGGGACTTGTCAGCATCGCGATGCTCAAGGTCCCGCTCATGCTGTGCGTGCGAGTACCACGGAATCGACGCGGCGAGAATGTCAGCAACATTCGTCGCGCGCACCGCTGCCCAAAGACCCAAACTCGTCCCTGAGAGCAGTACATCGAATCCAGCACCACTGACCACGGGATGATCCGAGGTTGCGCTCAAGATCCTCCCAATAGCGCTCGTTGTCCTCTCCCATGCCGATCGTTTCTCCACGTCAAATGGCAAGTATTGGCTGTGGCGGTGGTAGTATGCACTCGGTGCGCTGTGAAGCAGGCCCTCGTATGAAGCCTTGACGTGCAACACGAAGCTGCCGAGGGATGCCAATTTGAACAAAGTCGCGTAGGCTTGGTGAGTCTCGCGATGACTAGTCAAGGTGCGACCCCAGCTTGTTGGCAACAAGTACAGCAGCACCAGGGGCATCACCGTGAGCGCTCTGCTGACCAGCACAGCTGTTGCAGCGTTTGGGCTGTTGACTGCTTGACGTGCGTTCCACAAGGCTGCATATGCCAGACCCAGGCACGGTGCGCTGATGAAGGTGGAGGGCGTCCACGTGCTAGGCTTTCGGGTGAAGAACCGCCCGACACGCGGCGGCAGGGGTGACGGCGTCAGCAGCAGTGCGATGAAGAAGAGATTCTGCCCAAACGATAGCGAGACCAGCTGGCCGAGCAAAGAGTACGCCCACAGATTGGACATGTTGCGACGGCGACCCTCGACGGACAGGAACAGATTCCAGGGGATGAGGCCCAGCTCGATCTGCTGCCCCCACCAGAAGCGACGCGCTCGTTCGGCCAGGATCTCGAAACTATCGAGCTGAACAGGCGTGTCGCTCATCCACAGACCTGGGTACACATCCGTCGCATTCTCCCCAAACGGAAAGATACCTTTGTCTCCGTAGACTCTGCGGTCTGTGTTAGTGAATGTTGTGTGACTTGTGGGATATTGACGTACCTGAGTGGGACCGCGATGTCTCGCTCTCCAGCCCAGACCTTGTACGATAGCACAGCATGCTGAAGGGCCGCATAGCTCGCACTGCCCAAACTCAACAACGCCAGAATTGCAAATACCGGGATGAGTGTTGCGCGCGAGTGTTCTCGTTCCCTCGTGTCCTGTGCCGGGCCAAGAGCGCGCTTGGACCGGTACAGGCTCCGCCCAACCCCCACCGTCAGGAGCACCGCGGCGATGACATGCCCAGCGACTAGAGCGACGGACTGGTAGCTAGCGATGGCATGTTAGTCGGTCTGGGCACTCGAGCATGTACCGCGCCAGTTGCAATCTTACTTGACTTGCTGCTCAAGAGGCACGGGTGCCATGTTGAAGATCTTAGGATCGGGACCAGAGACGCTGAGGTCAAGAGGGTTGACGGCATGGAAAGGTTGGTGTTGTTGTTTTGTTGCTGTTTTGGGTATTATGCCCCGCATTAAAGACGCGGCCGACATGTTGATCGACTGGCTGCCTGGCCTGGCTGGCATTCAAATTCACGAGTGACTGCGAGCCGGTGCCGTGACCGTTTGTCTCATCAGTTCAGATTGAAACCTCAAGAGTCATCAAAGTGAATGAGCCGTAAGAAGGTTTCGCGGTGAAGGAAGAGTCTGTCGAGTGCAACTGGCACCCAAAACCTGATCATGCTTTGGCGCTTATCAGTGGCTCCTTCGCAGCTCAAGCCCACTTCCACATGCTAACATTTTGCTCTCACACATCGAAACTTGGAAGGGCCACCTCGTCATTCCTACCTCAACTGCCAGTGATTCCCAAAGTCTGGATTTCCTGAGACTTTAGCTCCAGTATTCGATTCGCTGATGGCTGTTCAGTACTTGATTATCGAGCTCCTTCTAGCCTTAATGCTTTAATTATTCATCTTGGTTGTTTGCGAGCAAGTGCTCGCATGCTTATCGATAAGGCAAGGTACCTGCCTACGTACATGGGGTAGCATTGGACCCTGTGACGCAACCCCTTCCTCATCCCCGAAATCCGGTCGCTCTTTCTGAAATCCTTCGACCCAGTGCGTACGGCCCGTGACTCGCGAGTCGTACCACCTGATCTAGACCCCGACCTCGAGGCGCGACTCGCGTCGTCTGACGATGGCATGAACATCATTGAAGACCTGCTTTCTCTGCTCTCGTGGACCATCGCTTTCAATCGGATGACAGCCACTTAACTTGCATCACGCGGCTGAGGCAACGTTAGGTTAGGTTAGAAGGCGGACGCTTCTTTCTGCGCTATAATCAACACAGCTCGCGTCTACGGATAACGCAACCTCGCCCATCCCTGGGCACAGACGCGACACGACCACCTGCATCACAGATGATGACCGCGACCACTCCCTCGCAATCGTCAAGCACGTTCCTTGCGCAGCAACAAGACGACGTCAATCACGCTTCGGCGCCCGATCATGTCACGAACCACCGCAGAATCGACGAACGCGCACCCCTCCTCCTACCCAATGAGCAAACGGATGGAAGTTGGAATGTGGGAGATGGGACTGGAGATGACGACGAATCTCAAAGAACAAAGAGTGTCTGGTACCTGATACTTCTGACCATCAGCATCGGCGGGTTGCAGATCGCATGGTCTGTGGAGTTATCCAATGGCTCGCCGTTCTTGCTTTCCTTGGGCCTGAGCAAGTCATTGATGGCGCTGGTGTGGATCGCCGGCCCGTTGACCGGCACGTTGGTGCAGCCCTATGTCGGTATGCTCAGCGACAGCTGCCGTCTGCCCATTGGGAAGCGCAAGCCGTTCATGCTCGGGGGCTCTGCGGTCACTGTCGCCTCGTTGCTGCTGCTGGCATGGACCAAAGAGATTGTGACAGAGATTGCCGGGGTATTCGGTGCCGATATTGAGTCGAGCGGCGTCAGGGTCATGACCATTGTGGTCGCAGTGATATGGGTGTATGTGCTGGACTTTGCGATCAATACCGTACAGGCCGCCATTCGCGCCTTCATCGTCGACTGCGCACCGGCTCATCAGCAGGAGGCCGCGAATGCAATGGCAAGTCGCATCACGGGGTTCGGCAACATCCTTGGGTACATTGCGGGCTACCTCGACTTGCCTGCCTATTTGTGGATCTTTGGCGATACTCAGTTCAAGATCCTCTGCACATTGGCGTCCATTGCTCTGGCGTCGACAGTCATACTCAGCACGATGGTCATCAAGGAAAGGGACCCTCGTCAAGAGGGACCGCCACCCGCCAACCACCGCGGGGTCCTGGCCTTCTTCGTTACACTCGTGAAATCTGTGAGACGCCTGCCGCCGCAGATCAAGAGGGTCTGCCAGGTGCAGTTCTTCGCCTGGATAGGCTTCTTCCCGCTCTTGTTCTACACGTCGTCCTACATTGGCGAGATATACGTGGAGCCGTACCTGCGAGAGAATCCCCACATGCCGCCGGAGGAGTTGGACAGGCTCTATGAGCGAGCGACCAGAATTGGCACATACGCATTGCTCATGAACTCGGTTGTGAGTCTGCTGACCAACGTCTTGTTACCCTTCTTCATCGCACCTACGTACGACAGCGTGCCTCTGCTTGCACAGGTACCAGGGGAGACGGACGCGGCATCAACGCTGCTCGATGACGACAAGCCCTCGATGCTGGATCGTCTTAGAATCCCAGGTTTCACGCTGAAGCGAGCCTGGTTTGGGTCTCTGGTACTGTACGCAGCCGCCATGCTCTGCACAGTGCTCGTGCGGTCTGTCGAGGCCGCGACTGCCCTCATTGGCCTCGTCGGCATCACCTGGGCAATGACCCTCTGGGCGCCGTGGGCCATTATCAGTGCCGAGATCAGCCGGCGCGACGCTCTGATCCGCGCTCAGAAGAACCGGTCCAGCAACGGGGCCTCCGAAGCCTCCAGTGACGCATCGGCAGAGGACGAGGAGATGGACCAGGCCGGCGTGATTCTAGGCATTCACAACATGGCCATTGCGGCGCCGCAGATGATTGCCACAGTGGGTTCCAGCATCATTTTCAAAATCTGGCAGAAGCCTCGCGGCACGCCGGGGGATCACAGTCTTGCCATTGTGCTAGCATTGGGTGGCGTCTGCGTCTTGGTTGCGTCCTTTTTCGTTGCGCAAATCAAGGACGACCCATCGATGCCGGCGGACGCCATGATCGATGTTGAACAAGGCGACGGCCGGGACGGTGCAGCGACCCGTGAGCGACCTTCAGCTGCACTTGACCGCAGGCCGAGCCATGAGCGGTGGAACCGAGCCACGCAAGGGCGAGCCACACTCACTCGGAACAGGAGCTTTGGGGGGGCAGAGATGCATTGAATCTAAATGTACGAAGCGTGTTACACAGTGGCAACTTTGAACAGCCCCTCTTGCTTACACAGGCCCAGCCCATCTGCCTATTCCTCAAGACGCACGAAATCCGACCGACGTACCCTCCCGTCACGAGCTCTGCAAGACCAAGACTGGTCTCCGTGAGCCTGTGGCTCTCTCCGTGCAACCGCGTCATCAGTGCTGCGTCGAGGGCACCGTTGGCTCTGGGAGAGTTGGGGACTCGGATACAGGCTCGTCAGATGGCACGGGATCTATCTCATATGACGTTTGACCACACAGTCCAATCTGTGATCTCGTCTCTCCCGGCACTGGCCCACGGGAGACATCGTAGGATGTGACTCCGGCCCAGAAGAAGCACCAGCTCGAGGACCCGTCACAATACGCATAGTCGCAGCTCAGACTGGTAGCTGACGACGGCTCCGGTGACGGCCAGGTTGCAGGCGTTGGCGTTGGCGTCTGTGCCGGCGGAGGAGTTGTCGAGACGGTCGTCGGGGCTGGAAGGGCAGCGACCAGCGCGACGAAGAAACAGGCGAGAACGAGCATTGTCGAAGGCAACGACGGTGGTATGGTGGCAGATGGTAAGGACAGTCAGTGTCTAGAGGGTTGGCAGGCAGGTGGTTTTTTGTTTCTAGAAAGCCAGCCAGCTGAATTTGAATGCCTCTCAGATGTGAAGACGTCTCTTTTATACCCTGATGCTATCCATTGTACGAGGGTGGTCAAGCTGGTGGACAGCACCCTGACATGCCTACGGCCTGCTGGAAGAATGACGTTGTGTACTAGTAAGCATAGCACTTGCACGACAATGGTCGGGTGAATCCAAGCTTGTATTCCATCACACGAAGACCGATGCATACTCCATGCGCCCCCCTTGTGACGGCCACGCCAGAAGGAATCCCACGTTACCACTTCTCCGTCTAGAACACGTAGGCATTCATGACCTTGAGTCCGGCCGAGATCCAGATACCCATAATGGTCCATACGCCGCCCTGCCACATGGCGGAGCGGAACCAGCTCATGGTCTTGTCCTGACTCAGGTGGACGTAGGCGACATTGAAGGCGACGCGGGAGGCGACGTAGCCCCAAGTGAGGGCGTTGAGGGTGCGCGGCTCGACGCCGACCTGGTTGGCGGCGACGACCGAGGCGGCAAAGAGGCCGAGTGTTTCGAAGCCATTCTCGGAGGCCTGCTTGGCCTTTGTGATACGGGCCTTGGCCTGCGGAGAGAGAGGGTACGTCAGTCAAGGCGCGCGCGCGGGGGGGCACCCTACGGGGGCCAACTCAGTTGTTCAACGTACCGCGGCGTCGAGGGTCTGGGTCTGGGTGACGCTGTCCTTGAAGGATCGGGGGTCACGGTTGTCGTAGATGTTGTGTGCGCTGCTGATGGCGTACACGTGAGGGCCCAGGGCGCACAGGACGGCGGCGGGGACCTGCATGGGCGCAGACGTCGGTTAGTATCACGCTGCTCTGCTTCGTGCTCCCACGAGGGAAAGGACGTACACTGAAGTAGGAGAGGTTCTTGGAGAGAATGTCGAGGCCAACGTTGGACGCCATTGTGATGGTTTGAGATGCGTATTGATAGCAGGGAAAACAGAGCGATGCGAAGGAGTGTGTGAGAGGTTATATTCACATAGCTGTGAGCGGGCTGGGCGAAGCTACTGTAGGTCGGTTCTATATAATTATGGGCATCCGCATTGGCGATGATTTCATCGCAGGCGACCTGGATCCCGGAGACAGGGATGCGATGCCGAGGTGCGTTCACCATCTATGATGGCCGACCCACCGAACGAATCCCGATGAACGGGGTCTGTCTGCGATGGACCGTCCGACGCCCCTCGATCGGGCCCTGTGCCGTCATGGCACTCTCTGAGTGGCTAGTAATTAGATCAACAAGCACCTGTGCGAAAGAAGGGAGAACAAATCGCGGTAATTGGTATTCAAAATGCTGCCGAGCAGCCACTTATATATATGTAGGCAGAAGTGAAAATCCCCAAGGGGGATACCATATCCTGAACGCCGGTCCTCATCCCGTCCGCATCTCTCAAAACATCGCAACCAATGCGCGTCGAGTCCGGGTATCATTCGTTCATAATGTGCGATCCCCTCATAAATATAAACATCTTGTCAAAGAGGCTTTAGGCCTGGAAGGTCTGAGTCTGTGTGGGGGTAGGGGTCGTGGGGGTGCCGTTGTTCTTGTAGACGGACACCGAGTTGACCGTCCAGTACGCCTCCTCGTACTCCTGGGGGTTGTTGGCGACAAAGTCATTGCAGGTGGGTGCCTTGGCGCTGCAGACGGGGTTGTTGTTCCAGACGTCGGGGCTGCCCGCCCAGTCACCGCAGAAAGTCGTGTTGAAGATGATTCTGTTGTCGCGGAAGAAGCCATCCATGTCACAGCCAGGGCTTCCCACAAACTTGGCAGTGGGAAGACCCCATGTCGATGGATCGGGGTGGCCGCTGGTGATGTCGGCAGGAATCAGGTCGCGAGGGAAGAAGTAGACGGCAATAAAATCAGACGTCCACTCCATGGCGTAGACGCCGCCCCCGATCTGGTTGAAGCCCGTGCCGTAGTTGAGGTAGTTGGATGTCTGCTGGCCACAGCCCGTGTTGGCGTTGCCCGCGTTGCAGTCGGCCTCCTTCAACAGGGTCGTGGGATCAGAGCCCTCGTTGCGGATGGTGCAGCCGGGACCAGTGTGCAGTGTGACCGCCGTGGCGGACTGGTCGTTGACGCCCTCGATGATGTCGATTTCGCCGGCATACGGCCACGGGTCTCCAAAGAGCCAATGCGCCGGCCAAACACCACACTCTGAGCCAGGCATGTGCTCAATATCGCTGATGACGAGGCCGTGGGTGAAGACCTTGTTTGAAGTCAAGCGGACAGACTTGCGTCCGTTGGCAGGGTTGACCTCGAGGGCATCCGCCGCCATGTGGATCTTGCCATTGTCGTTGCGGGCGAGACCCAGGTTGAAGGCCGAGGCCTGGTTAACGTACTCGACGAATCCGTGTGTCGGGTCGGGCTCGTTGAAGAAGGAGAACTCATTGAAGAAGTTCTCAGAGTTGTAGAAGGTGTCGAGTTGATACTGAGCCTGGACGGTGCCGGCAAAGAGACCAACAAGGCCAAAGGCAGTAGGGGCGTCGAAAAGCATGGCGAATAGCTAGCAAGCTCTGTAGCAGTTGTTACGATCGTTGGTGCAGTTGTGGGCCAGCCACGTAGAAAGACAGTTGGTGTGGTAAGGATCGTGGTGAAGTCAAAGGAGAGAGGGTCCCACAGGTTCAGGGAGATGAAAGAAGGAGTGTGCAGAACCAAGAGGGCAGGCCAGAGTGAGGCTTATGAACCGTTCACCGAGCTGTGAACAAGGCACACGTCTGAACGAGTGGTGAACAAGGCCTGAGCTGAGGCGGTGCTGAGAGAACAATGAGTGAGTATCGGATCAGGAGGCACAGACAGAAGACCAGCTGTCAGGCAAAAGGATCGGATGGTCCAGAAGGAACCGAAAATAGGACGAAAACGAAGAACAAAGCTGCGTGGCTCAAGAACAGATCAAGAGTCAGCCATGGCCATCCGTGGGTGGACGTCCACAACTATATACGTCCTCTGAGCGCGAGCACTTGCAAGTTGGTTCTCGGCAGAGCAGGCAAAATTAGCCGCCTCGCTTCCCACGGCGCGACTAATCCAACAACTCCGAGAGGCCTCGCGACAACCTCAGACAGGAGTCATGAGAAAGCGTGGGCCCATGGCCATCCCTAGCTCCTTGTAGTGGGAGGTGCCAATGGATATCGACGCATCGTGAGCGCTTCCGTCCGATCTGGACAAGGATAGCTAGGGCCTCAGAGCAGCATGGATTTTGAAGCGCGGCCGGCTATCCGTACTTGGCAAGTAGCATCTGTCGAGCAGAGCTGATACGTCCAGGCCCAGAAAAGCTGATGCGACGCGAGATGGGAGTTGCCCACGCTTCGCGGCCGACCCAGCACATGAGCATGCATCCAGGTGTCGTCCGGGCTTGACTCTTGCGTCCTGACCCTTGGGCCGCTCTCCGCACTGACTCGAGCCCATGGCAGGGCCAAGTGACTAGGGCATGGCCTTTGCTTCTTTGTTCGAGATGAAACCACGCGTGCTGGACAGCGAGTGGTAGCCGCGCGAGATTGCAGCAGCGCGCAGGAGATGAAGAGAGACAAAGGCCATTCAGAGGCTCCCGGCGCTTGCGCTCTGTGACAATCGAAGCGCCGCCCTGCATTGGGCAGGGGCGCCCCCCCACTTCACCTGGAGTGCGTGCCTGGTGCCTGCCAATCCGGGACGGTGCCAGCCAATGACGCCTCCCCCACCACAGCGCCTACCAAAGCGGCAAGGCCACCACCCATTGCTAGTGTGTCATGCATGAAATGAAATGCCATGATCCGGAATGGGATCCCAGATGCTCGTAGATGTAGATCAGCGGTCGTTGTAAACGTCTAAACTCCGGCCAAGCCTCTTGAAACATTCAAGACAAAACCCTGATGTGCATCCTCCAGTCCCCCTATGTTTCGAGCTATGCGCAGTGCAGTGAGTAGTGCTTACAGATACTGCGGGTTGCCATCCTCATTGTCCGACACGACTCGACTTGAGAAGAATCAAAAGCCTCCTACCCAAAGCGGCTGTCCCGTAGATGTTTCCAATCCACCCGTTTGGAAACGATCGTCACCTTGCATGGTGCAGGCCTATACTCGTGGTACAGCAGGAGATCAGGTCGGCCCGGAAGCAACCACACCTTCCGGGCTCCTTGCAAGAGCTCGATATCGCACAGCGTTCTGCAAGGGGTTGGGTTTCCTTCATCGATCCGTGCTTTGCTCTATTATATTCATGTACTCCGACACACATCTAAATAACTTGCCAAACCAAAAACCCCAGGTCTTCATTCATCGTACCTCCTGCTCCAGACTGCAGTGGCGGTCCAGCCATCCGACCATCACTTGCGTCAGTCTATATGCGTGATACGCTGGAGAAACACCAAGAAAAAGAAAACATCTTTCTCTTCCGGCCTCTTCCTTGCTCTGTCGTTTTGCGCGTGAAACGTGAAGAAATGAATGCGCTCATGATGAAATGCCCCAAACCGTCTCCCCCCCAATGGGCCGGGGGTATATGCGATGCAAACGAACGCCTGAAAGGACGCGCCCTCTCGTGCCAAGCAGGCACCGCCAGCAGCAATCCCCACTCACAGCTTGACGCGCTGCCCCGTGATCTTGTACCAGATCTCGGCGACGAGGTCCTCCTTGAAGCGCTCCCACGGGTTGCGGTTGAGCCAGTACCCAAACTCGCGGTAGTGGTACATCTCGCCCCAGCAGTCGCGCCCCCACTCGCAGCCGGCCATGTTCACCACAAAGTCGTGGTCGTGCTCGTTGTAGTGGAAGCGCGTGTTGTTCTTCTTCGTCCCGTCGCTGCACGCCGCCGGCGGGAACGCATTGATCATGCGCTGCGGCAGGAAGCCCGTGTGCTGCCGCACCCATGGGTGGCTCTCGTACATCCTCTCCAGCGCGTCCTGCTCCTTGTGGTCCCACTCCATGTGCTTCTGCTCGTAGAGCACGGGGTCCCACCAGATGTCAAGGAGCCGGTCGGTCCACGCACTCCGGCGGAGGAGGAACGATCCCAGGTTGAAGCCGGCACAGTCCTGGGTGATGAGCAGGTTGACAGAGTCCGCTTTCCCGTCACCCACAGGGCTCAGCGCGGTCTCGTCGAGATAGGGATCGGTGAACGGATGCGAGATGTTGAGGGGGTTCCACTCGTTGATGTCGCGGTAGATCTTGTCCTCCAAGTTGTGCAGGAGGTGCTCCTGCAACGGGAACGAGAGCTCCATAATGTACGTGTTCAGGTCCATCCACCAGAACCTTTGCGCGTTAGCTGTGGCCGCACGAGACACACATGGGGGCCGCGGGTCAAGTCAACTTACCACTCCGCGTTTGGATACTTGCGCATCGTCGTGCGCATGAAATCGACCTTTTCCCAGCTCTCGCGCCACTCGTGCGCGTAGCGCTTCTTGGTGCTCATGTCGACAATCTCCAGCTCGTAGCCCCATCGCCGGGTGTACTTCTTCTTGTTCCGCACGCTGTCCCGCTCAATAGCCCATTCGCGCGCCCCCTTCCACTCCATGACGCCGCCGCCCGGATTTGCGCCCAGGATGATGACAAACTTCTCGCCGTTCCCGCCCATGGACGATTTGCGCCAGTAGTACAGCAAGGCTGCGACAAGACAAGTTAGCCGGAGACCCACCATGACCACGAATCTACTCACGGGAATTGTAAAATATTAAGAGACAGATGAAGACGATTGTCGCGATCAGCAGGCGCAGCTTGAGCTTCCTCCCCATGCGTCTAAACACAGATCGCAACCGGCCGAGCATGGACATATTCCGTGGTTCCCAAGACCCGCGCCCCAGCTTGTCCTTTTGTGCATATGGTGAGTCTGCGCCGAGTCGAGGCAGGTTGCTGGATATTTTACGCATGTGACGGACAAAGAAGCCCGAGTTCTGCGTCGAAAACGACGGGTATCCGTTGACATTGTGGTTCCTCATCTTGGCTGACTCCCAAGCTGTCGGTCCGCCCGTGATGTGGGCTGGGCTCGTCCGTCCGCTGTTGATGTTGAGCCCGGGACTCGCCCACCCTCCACCCGGGATGGGTGACGGACTGCGCGAGAGGGACATGCCTATCGACGGTGTGCCTGCAATGGAGACGTCCAGGTCAGCATGCGCCGACACCATGACAAAGGCCGCACGGGGGGGGGGGGGGGGGGGGGGGCCCCGGGGGGGGGGGGGGGGGGGGGGGCCCGATTAAATACCAGGAACAGGTTTCGAGGGGGGTTGTTATACCGCCGGGCGCGGGTTTGGGTTGTTGTGGG